AGAATGGATATAGAGCAGGTAATGATTCATTGATTGTCCTTAAGGCCAGAAGGTCGTGGGTTCAATTCCCACCTATGCACTTTCTCCACCGACTCCCACTGATGACTGCTATCGTTGTGTCCTTGGGCAAGACACTTAACCCCACTTTGCCCAAAGCCCCCACTGAAAGATCAAGGCTATGCTCACACTCAGAGAGCAGCCGTCCTCCTGTGGACTCACCACCTGCAGAGGATCAGTGAGGGGCTGGTGCTATGAGAATTGGGTGGCATCTCTGACTGCCACCCCCCTGACCCAGAAATGGATTAAAGGGTTGAAAATGGATCGATGGATGGATGGAGTATATTATACTATTATATTATAATAAATACATAGTTCTAAAAGTTACTAACAATAGTAATTAAGTTCAGCAGCAGCAGAGGTGGTGTAGCCGCTGTTAATGAGCTGCTTCCTCTGGGTGAAGCACAGTCTGCTTGGTTCGGCCCATTTTCTCTCCCCTGGTCCAGAGTGAAGGCTAGTGTATACTCGTGCGGCGCTTGTGTGGCCCTTGTGATGTTACCTGCTGTCACATGACCAACGCAAGGATTACCGCAAGACCCTTGCGTAGCCATTGTGCACCCTCAAACATTTCTAACTACGCAGCCGCCGTCGCAGAGAAGCTGCACTGTGATTGGCTTGGCTGTTTTGATAACTTTTTAGATGGAAGCCTGGAGTTGCTGCGGGGAACATGGACGAGACACTTTAGCAGATTGCTTTGTGCTTCAAGGGGACCAAAAGAAAAGCAGTTTGGGTTCAAGGCTCAGAGTCCGATACAAGCGGAGGCCGTGGACTAGCATTTTGAACATATAGAGAACTTATACGACTTATACTGTACAGTCGATTCTTTTTTAAACTGTTCCTACTCCTGTCTTTTTTTGAATCTGCGCTTGTAGCTTATCGCATCTGTTGCATTCGTCAAGCACTAGCAAATATATTTTGCTAATATTTTCAGATATTTATCACTTATTGTTTTGCTGTTTGTGCACGAATGCACTTCAATAATAATAACTATTTTTCCAACAAGAACTGTCTTTATTCACAGCATTGCAGTTGAAATGAGTCATGAAGCAATAAGTCCATAGAACTGTCACATAAACCAATGCTTAGATACAGATTTATTGAGCTCAAACAGCTTGAAGAGCAGAGGGTAGCTTGCATAAATGGCACCCCTTTAGTTTCCTAGGCAAATCCTCCATCATCATCATGTGCTTGGGAGTGAGAATACAACATTCTCTTCAAAACTACACAGGGGGGTACGCCCGAGTGTACGAGCAACTGTGACTGCGTGGGTCCAGCACAATTGCCAATGACCAGTGCCGTGCGAGTATACACAGGCCTTTAAATGATGAATGCCTTATTAGGATTTTTTCAAAAGAATTATAATTCCTCCAATGGATTTCAACTTGATCTGCTTAGTTGGGACCATCGTCTCTGCTCTGGTCTGGATCAGTGTTAAACCATTAATACTGATCTGCAGGAACATTTACAAATAACGATAGTAAAACACAAATTAACAACTGTTTCAGAGCTTCTGAGGACTCACAGCTGTTTCCAGCGTATTCAAAAGTAAATCTACTACTACAATCAATAACAGAATCAAAGAAATGTAGGGATAGGCTGGTGGGAAGCAGGTTGCTGTGTAGAAAGTGTTCTGGATTCTGCCTTGAGGGTTCCTCACTCTTCATAATTTTATTTAAGCCAGACCAGGGAGGTGGCTCATCAGGCTAAAACAGCACAGCAACAAATGAGAACATAAGAGAAAGGGCTGGGAATAGACAAAAATTGATGTTTAATAAGTTATTAAAATACAACAGACTAGAGTCACAAAAATCAGACATCATAGAGGAACATAAACCTGAGTAAATTCAGTGAAGTGAAACGGATAATTATCAAATTAATTATCGCAATACTTTGCTTTACTGTATCCATTTAATACAAATTGCGATTCGGGATAGAATCGTATTATAGAATCGAGCGCTGGAAATAAATTGTTTTCCGTCGTCATATAAACACTGTGCCGGGGTTCTTGTCGCTTTTGTTAATTGTCTTGCAGTATCTACTGTTCTGTAACTTGTTTATTCAACACTGAAATTTCCCCACTGTGGGACAAAAAAAAGGATCTCTTAATCTTAATCTCTGCAGCGCCATAGTATAAACGGGGCCTGAGATTGCTGTCTGCCACCAGTTAACACCTGCATGTGTTTAAGGCATCTCACATCTATAGATCAGCTTTTCAGACAGATTAGTGAAAAAAGGTCTTGATCTAGTCTAGGTCCTGGCTCAGTGCTGGTCCTGGTCTTAGTGTCTCTAACTTTCACATATTTAAGAAGCAAGTATAAAATCCATTCAAAAACATTTTAACTACATTAACAACACTATTTAACACTTTAATTGTTCAAATATAAATGCTGTGGTTTCAGAAACATTTGTGGAAATCATCAATCAATGAATATGTTGAATGCAGTTCCTGTTTGCAGTGTGAGAAGTCTCTGTTTAGAGTTCCTCAGCCTGACGCAGTTACTGGGTTTCCCTTTGTTTCACTGACAACTCATAAATACTTATATATATATGTGTTATACTTGCTTCTTTATTAGACTAAAGTTACAGATATTGTAATTGAATAGAGTTATTGTCCTGTTATCTAGTGCTGTGTGCTCCTAATTCTGGCTGTGGAACCAATGAAGGATCTCTAAATCATATCTTAATGTAGATAAAGAAATCTCCGGTCTTAGAGAGATGCTTTTGGTCCATTATCACTAAAGATTAAGCTCCTGTGCTGTTAACTTCATGAGAGTGAAATGTGGTCTGACTGGTTCAGTGACATTGGTCAGTGGAAACACGTGTCAGAGATTTAACTTTAAAGCTATACTCTGTGAGGACGTGTCAAGAGTTTTTGAATCAGGACACGTTCTATACAGCGACCTGGCCTCCCACAAAACGTAAAACATGTAATAAATCCATGTCACTATAGTTCTGAACTGTAAAAACAGTTTGGTTCTATCGCAGGTTTTCACATAATGTGTTTGTGGCCTCTGTCACATCTTTAGATCAGCTTTATCAGACAGACATGTTACAGAGAGAGGACCATCCTTTCTCAGCCAATAAGCTCTCAGCTCAAATAGTGACTTAAAGGCTCTTTTCAGTCTGTGAACTTTAGAAATGTTTAGCCACCTGTATAATTGGTACTGTGGTATTCCACCAGTTTTACTCAACATGTTATTTTTACCTATAATACTGTTTTTAATTTATGAGTGAAATAAACATTTATGTGAGCTTTGTTAACTGGGCACCATGACAGTATAATAGTAACATAATAATAATGACATTACGTAACATAGAAGTCCTTCGTTCTCTGTAGAGCAGCCTTTTGTTTATGTATACCGTAAGTGTTCGCACAAACCCTCAGATCACAGACAATGAAAGTATTCCACTCATGTTCTTCATGTCATGGTGAGACAGCTGTTTGCTGGGCTCTGATTGGCTGAATGGCTCTCGCATGATGTCACTTTATTTTGATGTAGGTGACTACTCACTCACTGAAACACTTAAGATGACAGATAAATGTATGCGATTTGTAGATGGCAATCAGCGACATGGATGTCAATTATGTCAACTATTTCAGTATGACTGTTTCATAAGGAAGGGCATGAGAGAAAATGTTATACAACTATTCCTTTACTGTGGTGTTGAAATAACTCTCTTCTCTTTACTGTTTCCATCGAACGCCACTGATATTTGTTAAACAAATCTAATGCACGAGCTCCAGTTCAACAGAATCAACGTGACAATGTTTTTCAGGTTTAAGTTGAATGATTTTCAAAGTGAATAAAGTTAGGCCCATTGTTAATGATCAACAATTAAAACTCATATAAATAATGTATTCTAATGAAAATCAATTCTAAAATTACAAATTCATGATTCAAAACGTTTAATGGAAATCTAGATCAAGACTTGTACATGTTTTGGAAAAGGAGCTGATGAATCCGGACAATTGAACTTATGAACAGCAATCTGGAAATCAACAAATATTATTATTACCACATTGTTACATTACATATTCCATTCATCTGACAGTCTCTGATAAGCCACTAGTCACTCTACCTGCTGCTATTATTACTATTGTTTATTATCTTAAATGATAGATCACGTTTGCTGTAACACCGCGTGAGTTGAGTGCTCCCCTTTTTGTTTATTTTATTATTTGATGTTTTTATTTATCTTATTGTTTTATGTATATAGTTAATTGCTTTATTTTAATTGTTTTTATTTAAAGCTGGCAGACTTGTATATTTCAATCTGGGACTTTTATCTGTGCAGCACTTTGGAAACGTGTTTTATAAAATGTGATATATAAATAAAGTGGATTGGATTGGATTGGATTGATGTGAGCATTAATTGAGTGCTTTATCTCATCTTAAATCCGCCTCAACTCACACAAACCTTCCACTTATCTGAGGTTGTTAAATGTTATTTGTTCTAAAAATAGGTTCTGTATTTTAAGCTTGTGAAATGCCATGGTTTCAGGGCTCCACCATTTATCTGATTATGGTAAAACTCATTTTGTAAAGCTTTCAAAGGCGGCCGCTATGATTTGCACAACAGCATGGGGTCTACAACCTGTGGCTTGGCAGCTACCAGTAGCTCTCCAACCCCTTTCAAGTTGCTCCCCAAAGGACTCAATAATTTTACACATGATCCTGACTTGTTCGCTTTTGAGTCTCTACATATGTTTTTTAACTGTGACTGTTTTTAGTCATAGATAAAAGTATATAGGAAGATTTTCTTCTCCCGGGTGGATAATCAAGAACATTGGTCCTCCCAATTGTCAAACATTCTGGTGATATGTGCTTGTCAAATAAGACCGGAGAGTTTTGTTCAAAAAGTGGAGAGGACAGATAACAAAACGCTGACCTGTGGTTTTGGCTGATACTTCTGTTGATCTGAGTCTGCTCTTCTTTTGCAGCATGTCATCCAACACCACTAAGGACTGTGCCTCTGACGACAAGCTGTGCAGTAAGGACACACTTATGTTTTCACCAACAACATGAAGGAACCATGAACAAACCAACAGCCAATCAAACACTAGCTATGGTGTTCTTGGTCAAGCAGAATCGCACTGCCACTATACAAGTCTTTCTGTGGGGTTTTAATGTCCTCTTATCACTTTGAAGCAAGCTTATGTTAGAGCCAAATCACAAATTTTGGTAAGGTAACGTAGCTTAGGTTATCAACGGGCCTCTGTGAGTGTAAGACAAGATAAAGATAAAATAAACCTTTATTCGTCCCTCAGTGTCAATGTATATGTTGAATATTACAACAGAATACAAGGAGAAAACAATAGACTCATGTTAAGCACACAACAAACATGATCTATTATTTAAGATAATAGATATAATAATTTTAAAAAAACCTCTGGAGCAATACTGTCACTTGGTTCACTTGTAGAAGATACACCGTAGTCAGAAGCATCAGGAAGTATTTACTGATATTTGTGTTGTAGTATATGACCTGAAAAACTGTAGCAATAAAAGCAGAATCATTATTTCACATGCTGGTCTGACAACTCCCACTTGATGCTGGAAGGGACAGACAAGACAGAGAAGTGCAGGGAAACACACAGCTGTTGTTTTTATGTGATTAAGGAAGTCAGAGCAGTGTTTACTGTAAGGACTTCTTATTTGGACAAATGTTAGAAGAGACAGGACACTGTCATCAATCCGCTTAGTTTTCATTAGCTGTTGGTTCAGTGTTAGCGTATATCAAGCCTGTTAATTTACTGTCTCTCAACTGTAGCTGGTGCGGTTTATACACATGTGAGCTTTGAAGTCCAGTGTGTGTTGTAGTTACACTATATTGTCACCACTCCTTAGAATGTGCCTCAACAGGATGTATGTATGTGGCCCATACAAAAGCTTTCTAAGTTTTGTCACAGGGAACACGAGTTATGAGCAGGCGTGAGCTTATTTCTCTAACATGAAAGGAAAAACTTGCAGAATTTCAGTCTCAATCTAGTAAGCACAGTCTATTTGAGGGCAAAGAATATGAAGGACATCATATGAGATATTTCCAAAAGTGGCTCTGACCTAGGGCCAAAAAAGTTTTTATTCTGTCTTTGTTCATTTATAAGTGATTCATATCGGTTGATATCAATAATTATTGATTTTTAAATTTATTTTTAAAACCTAAATAAATATATTTGTCGTGTCGGCCAACATTTTAGCAGCACTTGTTTACAGTCACGGGGGAATGAGAACTCAGGCTGGAGGCAAATGTTCATAAGCACAGTGTCCCTCATTGTCAGTCCTGGTTTAATCCTGGTAGAGCCCTACTCTGACCCTTAGAATTCATCACAGATTGAGCCCTTTAGTAAATGTGAGCTGATAAATCCTTGAGCTGAGTATATAATGCACATGTTTTCATTTTGAATTAAAAATGCAGTTCCTTCTTGCAATATAATAACATTAGTGTCCATCTGAGGCCTAGACGCATGTTACCGACATGGCTTATTTGTTTGACATTTATCCAACCACAGAAACATGAAATGCTTAACAAAATGTATCTAACATTTGGTCTAATAACCAGAGGCTCAAAAGTGAGATTTTATCTAATTTGCACAAAAATGTCAAAACAAATTACCAGGATATGTAGAGAGCACTATAAGAAACATGTGTATGAAGTTTATGAGTTAAAAAAGTTGATTTGGTGTTTAGTTGTCGTTAAAAAAAAAAATCACCAGTCACAAATCCTATCTCCCCACATTCTAATTCACAAATGTGTTTTCCAGTTGCTCGAGAGCACGACCTGGCGGTGATCGTCATCCCAAGTATTCTGCTCATTCTCTTCGTCATTTTCCTGCTATGGTTTATTCTCCTGAGATTTTGCACCAAATCATCAAAAAGCAACGTTGTCCACAGCTACGGAAAACATCAGAAAACCCCACACGGAAAATACAGACACAGGAGCCAGCTGCAGGGCATCGACGGTAAGGACAAGAACAAATAGAGATACTTTACTGATCATGCACATATTCAACTCAGACAGATCTGTTATTTTTTCCTATGCTTTAACTGTTTAATTCTATAATTTAATGTTGGTGAATCCGCAACTTTTTAAAGCCCTCCTAGATAACTGCTATTAGGACTGAATACAAGTACACTAAACACATGGTTAAATTGGGATAATTACTGTCAAATCTCTTTGCTGAAATCATCTACTCATCCCTCATGGTTCCTTTTGTTGGAAATGGACCATGCTACTTGTTAGATATTTCTTATTTCATTATTAAAATTAAAGGCCGAATCGTGGATACAAGCAGTCGCAATGAGCATCCTCCGCAGAGTGGCTGGGCGCTCCCTTAGAGATAGGGTGAGGAGCTCGGTCACACAAGAGGAGCTCGGAGTAGAGCCGTTGCTTCTCCTCGTCGAGAGGAACCAGTTGAGGTGGCTCCAAGACGCCTCTCTGAGAAGGTGTTCTGGGCATGTCCCACCGGGAGGAGACTCCGGGGAAGACAAAGGACACGCTGGAGGGACTATGTCTCCCAGCTGGCCTGAGAACGCCTTGGGGTCCCCCCCGGATGAGCTGAAGGAAGTGTGTGTGGATAGGGAAATCTGGGCGTCTCTGCTTAGACTGCTGCCCCACAGCCTGGCAACGGATGAAGCATAAGAAAATGGATGGATGGATGGTATTATTAAACTATTAGTTAACCAAAAATCTGCATTGGTTCTCACATACTGTGTTATAAAAGGTTTTGCCCTGTCTTGTTAATTCCAAAGGCTGAATATTACATGATACTTACCTGATGATGTGTGTTGTGTGTAGCCCCTGTAGGTATAAACCCTCTGGAACACGAGCAGGTGCCCATGACGGTGCAGCACTCTCCGCTAAACGCCAAACCCCCTGTGGCTGCAGTACCGCAGTCCGCCCTCGAGCAGCAGCACAGAGCCTTCAGTCAGATCAGTGCGCTGCCTCAGACTCTGTTCCTCAGACCAGACACCTCTGTGTCTTTGTACAGAGCACAGATGGAGCACAGGGACGTGGTGCTGCGAGTGCTCAAAGGTACAGCTCTTTCAAGGATCAGATGTGGTTTTATAACTGAATTGTTTATTTGAAAAACACATAAACGACATGGATTACAATTTACTCTTTACCAGGTCGTTTTTGAAAAGCCAAATCTGTCTTAGTCTTATAGAAATAAAGTACACCCTTTGCTGTGCAAAAAAACAAAGGAAGGTTGCTCGCCTATCATCTGTACTTCAGTTAGCAGGTTTTCCCGACTTTCTCAAAGAAATTAAAGCTCAGCCACAAGTTGAAGATTTAAAACCTGTGGGTGTGCTTTTCAAGCACTTTCAATGTAAAATGGGAACTTATTCAAGGAAGTGACATTTTAAATATTATAAAGAATAATAGCCACTCAGCCGGCACGGTGGCTGAGTGGATAGCACTCTCGCCTCTCAGCAAGAAGGTCCTGGGTTTGAATCCCGGTCGGACCAGGGCCTTTCTGAGTGGAGTTTGCGTGTTCTCCCGTGTCTGCGTAGGTTTCCTCCGGGTACTCCGGTTTCCCCTACCACTAAAAATATGTCCAATAGTTCTAGCATGCGCCTCCTGTACTGGCGACCCCGCTCCCATCTCTGTGTGGAGTGAGAGACAAATGCCCAAAAATTAACAATTGTAAACCGCTTTGAGACTTAGATCTGCAGTGAAAAGGCGGTATATAAATAAAAACGTACTTACTTACTTACTAATAGACAAACATGATTTAAATTGGGTGCGCTTTGGCCCGAGAAAGCGTTGCGGTATAACTCACCAATATAACATGCTGTGACCCTGACAAATTAAATGCATCGAGTTGCATCAGTCAATTTATCACCATTGACCATACCCCTAAAAGCCGGGGATTGTAGGTCTCACCCAAAAAATTCCGCTCTCAAATTAGAGGGGTCACTCTTTCTTAATTATGCAAACAAAAAAAAACAAGATAAAGCAGCCAGTTGTGGTCCAATTATTTCACATTTTTCTTTTGGGTACAACAATATGCATTGTTGATGCAATGGAAAATGTAGGTACCCCAGCTTTAATTTAGCGTTTTTGCTTCATTGCTTCAGGAGGAGACACAGGAGATTTTTATAATCCAGTTCTGTTTCTTACAGAGGCGTATTTATTGCGTGCCGAGGGTACGCTAACAGGTTATGCACTTGCAACAAGCAGAGAGTGCTCCTCCCTGCGCTGGGTACAATAATGAACACATTACGGCTACATGCTCTCCACGCTGTTGTCAAAGCGGATCAGAGCCACTCGGGGCGGGAGCCGATGTCTGGACTACAGAGCGGCTCTGGGGTCAGAAAGCAGAACGCGCGCCCCACTGTTTGAAAAAGACAGGTGTAGGCTAATATAACCAATAGACCAAATAGACCAAAACCCCCAAGCTAACGTTACCTCAGGCTAAACATATCAGTGGCTAGCCAAGCGTTAGTTATTCATGTTGTAGGATAGCGATAACTTAGTCAATCACCCTACGGTCATGAGAAATTATGACAAAAACTTTATTACTATCATTTGGTGAAATTAGATCAAATACTAAACCACTCAAATACTAGACCCAATTTGGCATATTATATTGATTTACTTTTACTTTTTATGTGTTTACTATTTGCTCAAGACTTGAGTAAAACATATTTTCTCTGACCTGTGGCTCAGATCCGTCGCCGGCAGCAGAGAAGCAGCGATTCCTGGGTTTTGCTTCGTTCGTGTCTCGTCTTGGCCCTCACCCTTTCATCCCTGCTCTGCTGGGGGTGATCTCTGTGACGCCTCCTCCCATGATGGTGACGGAGGAGCTGCAGCACAGGGACCTGCTGGGCTTCCTCTGGAGATGCAGACAGGTGGTTACTTTAGTCACTTAAGTTAAGATTAATTTAATTAAGTTTATTGGTCCCACCAGTTACAGAACAGAAGGAATGAGTAGCACACAACACATGTGAATACATTTATATGACTCTTTTCTGTAGAAATCTAATCAAATCTATTTTGAGCTTAATGAAGAACAAATTATAAATACTGTATACTCTAGTGCAGTGTCTCCCAAAGTGGGGTCCGCGGCCCCCTGGTGGGCCGCGAGGGTACTGCAGGGGGGCCGCGGGAGGTCATAAAAAAAATAAAAAAATAATATAATTATTTAATGTTACATTTATAATGTTTTGTTTGTAATATTAAAATATTTGTGTTCATTATTTGACTTGAATAATCCACTGTAATCATTTTTGTATTACAATGTTTGTAGCAGAGGCTATTTCCCCAAAATAAAATAACCAGAAGAGCCTATTCTTAATGTTGTCTTCTTGGTTATTATTTTGGGGGGCCACGCAGACCCGTCAGATTTTTAAGGGGGCCTCGGTGTTACTGAGTTTGGGAATGGCTGCTCTAGTGCATCCAATTCCTCAAATGTTCAAGTTGAAACTGGACTCACCCATAGACTGTAAATATTAACGGACGTAGTCATGCCTATCTCCACCGTTCAAACTAATGTGCTACCACTTTCAAAATGGGCAGTTTAAAAATGGCCGCGGGGGCAGGAAAATGTTAAAAAGCGCATCTGCGCATGCGTCTGCCGGCACGAGCCCAATTAATTTAACCAGCGCCTTCAAAATTTCACAACGTCCAAAAACCTTCACTCCCCTCAGCATTGACACACATGTGGAACGTAGCTTTGAGCCAAGAGCGACTTTTGGACCATCCTATAAAGCCGTTATCGAGAGGTGGCGTAGCATCACACTAATTTCGAGGCAAACAAGAGCTAACTGTACAGCTTTCGTTGTTACAGTACGTAGTAATTTCAGACCTGAGAATAAACTTCCATCAAAGGCAATCTGTCATAGAGACCTACTGTATGTCCTCAATCCTGTATCGGGCCTAATTATTTATTTCACAGTGATCTACGGTAAGTAAGTAAGTAATCTTTATTTATATACCGCCTTTCACAGACCAGAGTCACAAAGCGGTTTACAATTGTTATTTTTGGGCACTTGTCTCTCACTCCACACAGAGATGGGAGCGGGGTCGCCGAACAGGAGGCGCATGCCAATCCTATTATACATATTTTTAGTGGTAGGGGAAACCGGAGTACCCGGAGGAAACCTACGCAGACACGGGGAGAACTTGCAAACTCCACTCACAAAGGCCCTGGTCCGGCCGGGATTCGAACCCAGGACCTTCTTGCTGAGAGGCGAGAGTGCTATCCACTCAGCCACCGTGCCGCCCAAGGTAATTGCATTGTACTCACAGATCGAGGCTCCTGGCAGCGTGTTTTATGTTAGGAATAACATCAGGTTTCCAGATCAACTTTTGAGTACGTCCCGTTTCAAGTTAACCGTAGTTCTGGAACAGTCTTGGTCGGTGTCACTGTCACTCGAAAAAAAACATTTGCGAGTTTTGTTACGGATTTCTGACTCGCGGATATAAGGCAGATCCCCGTGAACAAAATTGATCCCCATTCTCCATCTTCGGGCCAAATACTGACGTCACATGAAGGAAGGCCAAAGGCCAAATAGCACTGTAATCATGTTTTAACCACCGAAAAGTCAAAAGCGTAACATGGAACCTTTAAAGGACAACTCACCCTCAAATCCACTTTTTTTTGCTGATAAACGGTATAAATGAGTGTCCAATAGTGTTGTCTACATATCCTGGTCATAATCTTGTCACTTTGGTGCAAATTAGTTGAAAGTTAGACTTTCTGCCTAAAACCGTCTGTGAGGCGCCATCTGCTGGCGACCTGTATTACTACATTTGAATTTTGAATCTGGCGCCAACACTGGCACAGAAGTTGGACCTGACGTCTGCAAGTTGGACCTGACGTCAGCAGCCCCCCGCCCAGAGCAATGTAAACGGCCCAGTCTCGTTCACGCCCCCTTTAGTCCTCCAGGCTACGCCCATTTAGAGGAAGATTTGAACAGGAAATGTGAGTAACGTAAGCTCCGAGGAGCGGGGTTGAGAACCACTTTAAGTCATGTTCAAAGTGTACACGAAACTCAAAAACGTACAGTACAGTGTCATGACTTGGTTCTAAAACAGTGTGTTGTCTTTGCAGGATAATTCTGAGTGTGATATCACAGAGAAGAGGATCTACACCATGGGACAACAAGTGGCCTCTGCTCTGGTTTGTCTTATTATATGAAATAAAATCATTTTAGGGACGTCATAATAATCACATAAGTTTGTTTTTACTGTGAGAAGAGGGTTTGAGGTACAACAGAGTCTTGTGTAAGTAACATTTTGTGAAAAATGTGAAAGAAATTCAAACTGGAGACAGTTTTAAGAGCTGGGGACAAGAAGAATTTGGTTGGTTTAAACGTTAGGTATTTCTGCTTTAATACCATTGTGATCTGACCCATTTCTAGATGTTTCTCACTAGAATATTATGGTTCTAAAATGTAAACAATATCAACAATATCAGCTTCTGATGTTTCTCGAACCCGCCTCAATCCCATAGTAATGTGTCTGTTCTGTTAGTAGGATTACCTCCACTCTCAGCAGTGCGTCCACGGGAACATTGCGGCCCGCAGTGTACTGGTGGGCCGCGACCTGACGGTGAAACTCTGGGGTCTGGGCTCGGCCTTCCGCAGGGGCCAAAGGGGACCTGAGGCGGGACTGGGAGGAGCTCAGGGCATGGAGCTCCGCAAGTGGCAGGCACCTGAGGTCTTGGCCCGAAACGGAGTCACAAAGAACAGTGATGTGTGAGTGCAACGTCTGCTACGTTTGAAGAAGTTAAACATTATAATCTAAGACAAGAAGGTTTAAAAAAAATAAAAAATGGTAGACATCCCAACAGCATTAAAGAAGTCATGTTGTACGACAAGGAACGAGTAAAGATAAAGTAAATTAAAATACTTTTGTCATTATAACTGAAATAAATAAAAATTTCATGATTTTATGATATATATTCTGTATGTAAGTGTGTAATGTGCCCTTTAACCAACAATGGAACGAGATTAAAAAACTATCTATAGTGGAAGACTAATATAGAGATAATAGTATTTCAGATGAGACGGGATTTAAGGAGCGCTACCCAAGGGCCTTCATTCCCCCGCTTTAAGAATGTATTTTAAGTCACTATAATGACCTGCACTAGGACTGAAAAACTGCTATAGTCACTAATAATTTTATTGTACATAATCTTGCACAGAAGAGATACATTTTAATATTTTAATTCTGATTTTGATTCTATCTATGACAAATTTGACATGCAAATTTCTCCATTGTGAGACCAATAAACTTTATCATATCTTATACCAAAATATAATAGTACGTTTTTTTGCAGATGGTCTTTTGGCATCCTGCTTTATGAAATGGTGACTTTAGGTGAGTATCTGGAACTATTCAAACAGTAAGTGAACTCAAACTCTTCTTACATGTGGGTTCTGTTCTTCAGGAGACGCTCCGTTCCCTGAGCTCCGAGACACAGAGCTGCTGCAGTTTCTTCAAAGAGGAAAGTTTATGAAGAAACCAGCCTCCTGCCCCAACACATTGTAAGATAAGAACGTTACAATAGTACTGAACATGTGTGTTTTCTACAGATTTATACTCAAGAAAACTATGTTGCCATAAAGTCATGTCTAAGTCTATTTTCACAGCAACAAATCCATAGACAAAAGATCAGCCCCATCAGCGTTTACTTATCAGGGACTTGATGCTAAAACAAATTTTTACAAAAAATGTGATTGCGGTTATATCAGTTTCTTTAAATTAAATCAAAAATCAAACTAAGAGTATATCACATGGGTTTTATACAGCACTTTCCTGGACACTCAAAGACGCATCACAAGTCATTATTCTTTCATGATATTCTCCCATCTCAGACCGTTACCATGACAATCTGTCCGCAGCGCGTATCACAATTGATTTCTTTCCTGAGTTTCCTCGGTAAAAAAGAAATAATGAGCGACAACTGGGAGCATTCTCCAGTGAATTCTATTATCCGGACGAGTTTGACGAGCCAGAGGAAGAAATTACAGAAAATAACGAAGAAAAAAAAACTAACTAACAGACAAGATGAGATTGACAACTTTGTTGCAGACCAGAAAGCTAAAAACACGATTAGGAAAACCAAGTCGGAGATCGATATTTGCATAAATTAAAAATAGTCATATAATAAAACATTTATTAACCTCGCGCTCGGTTAATAAGCCGTTTTTATTATATGACTTGGACCGCATGCGCGCTCTGATTACCGGTCTGATATTTTCCCATCTCGGACATTTGATATCTTTCCTCGGACCGTTACCTTGACAATCTGTCTGCAGCGCGTATCACACAAAACCAAGTCGGACATGAACATACTTCACAAATATCTCAAAAGTATTGGTAAAGACACAGACGAGAGTCATATAATAAAACCTTTATTAACCTTGCTTGCTTGGTCTGTGCAGAGAAATATCCGACCTTGGCCTTTTTGCACAGACCTCGCCACGGCTCGGTCTGTACATTAAAGGAATAGTTCACCGTTTTTACATACTGACATATGTTCTTACCTTACCTTAGACTAGTTAATATGTACCTGTCTGGTCTTAGTCCGTGCGCTCTGTCATGCAAACGGAACAAAAACGGGAGCACAAACGCAGCCTCCTCTGTATACTGTATGGGACCCAAAAGGTAGCTCCCGCTAGAAGCTACCAAACTCTTCCAAGTGTTCCCTATTAAATGTATATAGTTACGTGACGTGTTACACTGCAAAGTATAGTAACACAGAAATCTAACTGTCGATTTTCTCAGCGGATAAAACGGGTACTATATTGTGAGGCGTAGTAATCTGAGGAGCGCTACGTCCGCGCACTAACTTCTCTCCGTACTACAAGTCACGCTGCTTCTATTGACGGAAGTGAGCAAGAGAGAAGTCTCCGGTACAGGTACATATTAACTAGTCTAAGGTAAGGTAAGAACATATGTCAGTATGTAAAAACGGTGAACTATTCCTTTAAGGCCACGGTCTGATATTTCTCCATACAGACCTCGCGCTCGGTTAATAAGCCACTAGTAGCCACTGTGGGGCACAATGACAGAAGCAAAGCAACCAGTACGTTCCATCGGCCCCTCCCTCCAACACCAACCATTCACACATACACAGCAGACTCATTCTAATGTGAGTGAAGTGTCTTGCCTAATGACACAGCCAACGTTTGTCACTTTACAGTAACAGCCTCCCCACTGTGACCCCCGGAGGTCTCCCGAAACGGGACTAACCAAGTCCTGCACTGCTGAGCTTCAGCGGTCTGACAAGATCTGGGTGTCAACTGCAGGTGGCACCAAAAGTTAATTCATCTTTTTTGTTAGCCTAAAGTGTCTTTGTTAAAGCAGTTAATGAAATACAATTTAAATCAATCAATATAAAAAGGGACTGAAATCAATGAACATTGAAATTTGAGTTTGTTAGATCAAGAATCGGGAAAATAGGAACTTTGTCCATGAGCACTTCCCTATTGGGCTTCATTGAGCTTGTGGGTAAGCATTATGCATCTATCACATGGATCTAAAATAATATCTGGATCGGGTATTAGCTCAGACCCATGTACTGCAAAAAAAATTCACATGGGATATTGAGTTCTTTGCAAACTAAATTCCATGTCCCATAGAACTCAAAGTAAACCAGCTCAACTTCAGCTGACAGAGAACTTACAGCTTTCATAAAGTTCGATTATGTGGGGATTTTAATACCTTGTCCTCATTTTATTAAATCCTTTGGTTTTCTATAAATCCACACTTTAGTGCCACAAACTCTGCTCGATTGTCTCCCGCGCTAGCTCCACTCTGATCAGCAGCTGCTGATTGGTCAGGAAGCGCTGTGAACCTGACCACACGAGTATTTGCCGCTAAGCATCATGGGATCTCCACTGTGCCGAACCAGAAGAACAATATTATTATAGATCCATGGGAGGACCAGAGAAATACCCAAATATGGGCAAATTCCACTAATCTTTCAGTCCCCATGGTGGCACATGTGCTACTGAGCACAAGCCATTTATTTGAGGAGGGTGCCTTCCATCTTGGATTGCCAGGGGTTGTTGACCTGTAAACAATCTGTTAGCATTGTGCATCTGTATATGTTTGCAGCACTAATTCATGTACAACACTCTTCAAATCTTACATTAAATATTCAAGATGGTATTAATTTGTGATTTATGATAAAAGGCTTTAACCAAATTCAACCTTTATTCTGCAAACTTTCAAAATGTCAATACAAGCTCCTAAATCCAGGACACTTTCTATACAGCAACTTCTCACAAAATCTTCCTAAATGTTTCTCAGATAAAAAACAACTCTGCATTTCCATTATTGATTCAAGTGGGCCATTATCTTTCATAGTTACAGAGCGTCACCTCTATTTTACAAAACATTTTAGCAATAAACAATAGCGCCAAAAGGGTTAACGCAGAATAGATTCAAGGTCATTCAGCATTAGCTCCTGCTTCAAGTTTAACCAAAAAAAATAATTTCATGATTTATAGACTATGATTAATAATTTTAGAAAAAACGTCCCTTAAATCTAGTGCTTACGTGAAAAAGCCTGTAGCTGTAAAACTAGAAACGTGTCAGTTAGCATAGCTGTTACTATTAGCATCAAAGCTAACGGTTGGTGGCCGTTACTTTCTACGCTTGAATTCTGGCATATTCCTTGTATTTCCCTGCAGATACACATTGATGAAGTCGTGTTGCCAGTGGAGTCCCCAGCAGCGAGTGTCAGTGCCGGAGCTCAGCCGGAGATTAGAGGCTGGAGAGCGGACAGCCAACAGCAGCGCTGCGTTCAGAACTCCGGAGAGACTGGACCTGAACACGTACATGCAGCAAGCGGGATATACGGAGGCCTATGACTATGCTGTCTTGTGATTGGCTCAAAGGACTGTCAATCATGAACAATTAAATATGAAGCATGCATGCCGTGTTTGGATTGACTCAGGGACTGTCTATCTAACTGGACATATTTACTTGAAGCCTCTGAGCTATATATTTAAACATTACAGTATATTATTTTAGCTGACATCATTCCTTGTTCTTTTGTTCTGGTCACTTGTCATTGTTTTTGGTTGTTAACACTAGGACTCCCAGAATCCTGAAACAACTGGCGTTATTCCCTTGTTTTATATAACATAGCATGTTATATAAATATATATATATATATAAATATATTTATATTACATTTTTCTGCCATCAAACAGAGACCTGCTGTTGATTTTAGTTCCATCCGTACGAATGTTGCGATATCTGGGACAAAGTTAGTCATGTAAGGCCCAGATGGAACCCTATTGTACTAAATAATTGTACCTCAGGATGTTGCCACTTGGAATAGGTAAGGAGGAGCATAGACTGTAAATATTATGGAAGGACATATTTATAATGAATTTGCATGTAGCCTTAGTTTTAAACACAAACTTGAAGATAATAGTGCTACAACGTATGCAGCATGAAGTGAAAAACTTTATTTTTGTATTTAAAATAAGATATATATTTTGTAAATACAACATACATTTTATGCACTTAATGAGAAAAAGTGAGCCTTTGAGTTTTACAGTGAAAAAAAATCACTGAAATGTCAAGTTGCTATGACATATGGGCCTTTATACAATCTGTTATTACCACTGTTGGTCTGTTGATTTCTCTCCACATCACTATACATAGTTCCCACAGACCAATGAATGTCACATGACCTCCTCGGAGACGCCATCTTTGATGGCACGCTGCTGTGTTTGTGCATTCCATTAAACAGAAGAATGAGAATAAATGTAGATATTCAAACGCAAATTGGAAAAAAAGGGCAACTTTTGAGCAAATAATTGTATATTAATACAATGGCACCACAGTTTAACGTGCTACGGACATGTTTTACATATTTGATCAAATTATGCAGCAAAAATTAACAAGCAATGCAAACATTTCTCAAAAACTTTAGATTTAATACCAGTTGGAGCTCCATTTAATTATTTTAATTATTTTAACAATTAATTTAATTAATGCTAATGCCACACGGACACTCTGGATTGCTGTTATTGTTTATTTCCGCGTTTTTGACCGTATGTTTTGGTGAATGGTGGGCAACTGATTTTTCCAGGCGTAAAGAGCAGTTTATTTTATGACACAGATCTTTTTACAGAAGCAATGCTGTTTGTGAACATTGTTTTAGCCCACCATAGAACTATTATTATCTATTTAATACATTTACGTTGCCCTCGAGAGCCTCGGACGCGACACCGATCCTCCTCATAATAAAGTAATCTAACGCTAAATAATGAAACTCTCAAGTTACCAGATATCAGCATACACAAGTTAGTACTGAGTAAATTACGTCTGTCAACACATTATAAGATACGATACGCACCTGACACAAAGTGCTCCGAGTATATTCTTGCGTGTTTTGAGGGAGTTTCTTGCCTGTTTATCTTCGCAAGCCATAACCTCCGTGGTTGTTCTGACAAAAGCTTAGTCTTCTCACATTCATGAAGTCTAATGATGGGTATACTGTAAAATCCAAGTTTAACGTTATGTAGTTCCTACATGACGTCACTACATACGGGGATTTGCCGACCCGGCGCCATTTGTGTTGGCATTCTGTGGGCAAAACAATAGAAAAAGAAGCTGAAACGTGTTAATGTCGTGATAAAGTTGAAAATGGTCATCTCCTGCTGGGTCAATGGATGTTCAAATCGTGCCGGAGGTTCCGTTAAACTTGGATTTTACAGTATACCCATCATTAGACTTCATGAATGTGAGAAGACTAAGCTTTTGTCAGAACAACGACGGAGGTTATGGCTTGCGAAGATAAACAGGCAAGAAACTCCCTCAAAACACGCAAGAATATGCTCGGAGCACTTTGTGTCAGGTGCGTATCGTATCTCATAATGTGTTGACAGACGTAATTTACTCAGTACTAACTTGTGTATGCTGATAGCTGGTAACTTGAGAGTTTCATTATTTAGATTACTTTATTATGAGGAGGATCTGTGTCGCGTCCGAGGCTCTCGAGGGCAACGTAAATGTATTAAATAGATAATAATAGTTCTATGGTGGGCTAAAACAATGTTCACAAACAGCATTGCTTCTGTAAAAAGATCTGTGTCATAAAATAAACTGCTCTTTACGCCTGGAAAAATCAGTTGCCCACCATTCACCAAAACATACGGTCAAAAACGCGGAAATAATCAATAACAGCAATCCAGAGTGTCCGTGTGGCATTAGCATTAATTAAATTAATTGTTAATATAATTAAAATAATTAAATGGAGCTCCAACTGGTATTAAATCTAAAGTTTTTGAGAAATGTTTGCATTGCTTGTTAATTTTTGCTGCATAATTTGATCAAATATGTAAAACATGTCCGTAGCACGTTAAACTGTGGTGTCATTGTATTAATATACAATTATTTGCTCAAAAGTTGCCCTTTTTTTCCAATTTGCGTTTGAATATCTACATTTATTCTCATTCTTCTGTTTAATGGAATGCACAAACACAGCAGCGTGCCATCAAAGATGGCGTCTCCGAGGAGGTCATGTGACATTCATTGGTCTGTGGGAACTATGTATAATTTCTGCTGCACAAGATTTTATGAATGTTTTATCTCTGAGATGTGTGTATGTTGTTGTATGTTTTCACTGTTGGTGTGGCTAAAATTAGTCTGAAGGGACAAACGTTTTGAATAAATGACTGAAATCTGGTCTTGTGTGGAGAAGCTGGTCTCCAAATATACACCATTCACGTCGTCCTCTACTGCTTTGTTCTTATCCATCCGAATAACGTTTGTATTAATAATGATAATAATAATAACAATGCAAAGTGTAATACTGAGCTCTGTTTTTAAGAACAAATTGGTATCTGAAAGTAGATTTACTGGCTTAGTTTAGCCTGTAGTTCAACATTGTGTTGGAGGGCGGCTTAAAACCTCTTTCTGGTCTCTTTCTAATCTCTCTCCATCTTTTTGGTTCCCCTTAAAGTCCCGCTTAAAGTCTACAGTGTAAACATTGGACGCAGCATAAATAAAACTTGTTCCTCTGGATGAACTTGTGCTGGTGTCTGTAGAAACGGTATATAAACAACTTTAAACTTTAAAAAGACAAAGACACAATTGAAAACAGTTGCTTGATTATTTATTTGCAAGTTGTGGCTGTTAACCCCAAACAGACCCTACAATACTGTACAGGTTCTGATTATCTCAAACATGTTAAATACTCATAAAATTCAGACCAAAAAAAATGCAATTTGAATTTGGCCTTAATATTTTTGACGTAAACAGTGAAAAAGTACATTGAAATCTTAACTGGCTTCAAAATATAAATAATCACACACCTAGCAATAGCGGTTGCATGCTAAGAGGAAGACGGAATCTGAGGTTTCTTCTGAACATACAGCTACTATTAAGTGAATGTGAAAAGGCAAGAGTCTGAGAAAAAGTAAAAAAGTCTGCGTTAATAATATAAAAAGTCATGAAAAGCTTAAAAACACAATCGTTATTTCTTCTAGACCTATTTGAAGCTCGAAAGGCCACAAATCCACAGAAAAACATGAGAAAAACATCAAGAAGGCAGTCCAGCAACGAAATGTGCATTAAATACAAAAGGCAAATATTATTACACTTATTACACAACAATGGCACAACGCATTCTCTCATTCATTCATTCATTCCCTCTCGATGTCCGAGGGCTGTGTCCGACCAGGAGGACAGAGACACCGGTTTGAAAACTGAAGTAATAGAGGTTTGAGTCTATGAAGTCTTGTTTCTCAGTATGGGAAGGATGTACTGTATGTGGTGAAGAGGGAGCAGCCTCTGCAGTCAGAGCTCTACATCCACATAAGCTTCCTTAGAGATAGAGGAAGAGTCTCTCTGGTCCCTCCCTTAGAGATGTGGTGAGGAGCTTAGTCACACAGGAGGAGGTGGCTCATGTTTGGGATGTCCCACTAGGAGGACACCAGGTGGGAACGCCTCAGGATTCCCCCAGATGAGCAGGACGTGTGTGTGGAGAGGGAAGTCTGTGCCTCTGCTCAGACTGTTACCCACATGATGTATTTTGTAGTAATGATGAATCAATGCATCCTTGTCTAAACTGTTAAATATCTGTTAGACTGTGTTTGGTCCTGAAGAGGTCTGGTTTTGATCGACTGCAACTAAATATATAAATATTAGCTTTGACACAACCCAATTATATTAATATTTAGGTACTGTGAAGATCAGAGCAGCAATTAGACCCGCCCCCACAGGCTCCTAATTGGATGCAATAAATTAAAACCCTTGATAGACAGCTAAGGCTCCTCCCCATTGGTATAACTATTCAACCAGGGTTTTTTTAAATATATTTATCATACTTCTCATAGATGATTCTACAGAGTCACATGGTCACAATATGTTTTCTTTCACCTTGAAGTGTGTAATGCCCATTTAAACCACTGATGTCACGTGGAGGTGAGCGATTAAACATATTAGACTAAACTAGAGCATCATTGTCCAGGTCGTGGTCCTGGTCCAGGTCCAGGTCCAGGTCGGCACAATCCAGTCCCTCATAGGTCCAACATCAGTCTCACAGTCTTCATAAACTTTCACAGTCTTCTCATTCACTCATTCATTATAATTACAACAAGCCTTTGAGACTCACTTCATCAAAGCAAATGCATCAAGACGAGGGCGACAAAAATACTACACAAACTGAAGAAACAGATGTATTTGTTTGAACGTTTAACCTTTTGACCCTTTGGACTCGGGTTCCTGCAGACAGACCCTGTTCCCCCTGACCCTGTTCATGGACACATCACTGGAAGATTCTCTAAAAAAAAAAGTGCTACAAACTAAAGCTGTTTCCTATGCTTCTCCGTAGGGTTTTTATTATTGTTTTTTGTTAATTAAATGCATGTTATTAGAAGGTAGAATAGTAAAGAATTTAGAAAAAGAGTATTTTGTAATCGTTGGTCGACAGTCAGCAATCGAGCTGAGAATTTTTTGCAAAAATGTTCTGTTATAATAATAATTAACAAAAAAATAAGCTCTCAGCCCAAAGAATCAAACAGTGACTCACAGAAGGCTCTTTCTTACATGTAAACATGAAACAAACGTACAAGACTCAAGTTACGTACCCCAGCTTTAACTTTCATCTGCTGTCAATTACCAACTTTTTACCAACTTTTACATAATAAACCCATTAGTTCAAACTTCAACTTTGAATCTTAGACTTATTGGAGTTGATAGAGCACTGCAGCTTATGTAGAAGAGAAGACCTCAGGGACAAAGTACTGAATAAACACTGTCATCAGTATCATGGAACAGGAATACTTTCTCTTTTAAACACATTAGAATCATTCTCTGACATTCAGTCTCAAGTAACGGACACATCATAAAAAAATAAACAAGAGCAGATTAGACGTGCGTTTATATGGAACCAGAGGAACCCCTGTGGAGGAACCTTTAGAAAGACCTGGAATGCATTATCATAACCAAGTAAATGTAAAGTTATGAATCCGCTCTCTCACGTCTATGTAAAGTAAATGTGTGCGTGTGTGTGAGTGCGTGTTTGTCTCTCTCTGACTTTGTGTGTGTCTCTCTCTAAAATGTTTCTCCTCTAAGATGCAGTTTGTGGAAAAAAGCTGTAAAAAGCAGATTTTGCAAGAGGTTCTTTCAGGCTTCCATGTAAACGTACTGACTTAAATCTTACAACTGGGTCAGACCGGTCAAATAGATGGAGCGGCTGCAGGTTTTCACTCTCACCAAACAGGAGCACACTAGACTCAATCTCTGTGATCTTGGTGCTCATTAGTGATATTGTCTTGTTAAATCCAGAAATGAGCCATATCAGGATTGACCAAACAGAGGCCTTCATTCTCAGGGAAAAACTCCAGTTTGTCTTTGCAACCTTCTTAGCAACAGGTCTGTCTCTGTTACAGCTCGAAGCTAACGCCGTCAGAACAAATGCCCATATAAGGAAACTGGTTCCATCTTATTGAAAACAGTAAACAGGGCTAGAGTGCTTCTTGGATGAACAAATTAAATAAGGAAAAAAGTTTTATAAATGCATTTAAAGATTTTTGCAACTTTTGAGTGCCTCAGTCTTCTGACTGAACTTTCAACATTGGCTCCGTCTTATGTTCAAATTGGCTTCTTCCGCATTAGGGCTAACACTGTGGTGATGTCACGCTGTGGTGATGTCACACTCCTCATACACAGTCTATGGTTGGAATTAAAACCTGCAGCCCTGGTTTTAAGAGAAACACAAAGTCTGTCTCTCATTCTACACATTTTTTAAACGGTGTAAACATAAATAAAAGTGTGGCTTCTTGACGTTGTGGAGGAGGGGTACTTGAGGGGAGTATGGCTCCGCGAGGCCTCAGTCCTTCAGGGAGTTGATGTGAGCGCAGATTTTCAGCGCTGGTCCCAGCTTCATGTTCATGGTGGACATCAGGTGTTCCTCCTTCAGCAGCAGCAGAGCCTGACCATCGATCTCCTGAGAGAGGAACTGACACGCCAGGTCCTCACAGCCTGAAGGAGAGATAATAATTCTTATCTGAGAGAAAAACTGACACACCAGGTCCTCAAAGGAGAGAACATAATCCTAATCTGAGAAAGGAACTGAAATGCCAGGTCCTCACAGCCTGAAGAAGAGAAGATAATCCTAAACTGAAAGAGGCAGATGGAACAGTATTGCTTCTTGAGGGAGTGTACCAGAGAGTGACCAGAAAGAGACCAGAGAGAGACCAGAGAGAGACCAGAGAGAGAGACCACCATGAGGGAGTTTATCGTACTTTGAGTGTATTGTACCTTGAGTGTATTTATACCTTGAGTGTATTTATACCTTGAGTGTATTGCACCTTGAGTGTATTGCACCTTGAGTGTATTGCACCTTGAGTGTATTGCACATTGAGTGTATCGTACCTTGCAGAGAGGAGATGAACTGTGAGACTTGCTGGACGCTCCACTGAGTTGGGCTGGACGTGGGGCAGGTGGGGGCTGTGGAGGGCGGAGTCTGTGCAGGGGGAGGGACCTGTGGCTGAGGGGGCAGGGCCTGTGCAGTAGGAAGGGGTGGGACTTGGTGAGAGGAAGTGGAGGACGCTGGAGAAGGTGTCATGGCGTCGTCTTCTTCCTCGTCGGCACTGGACTCTTCCTCAGAGCGACTGGACTCCGAACCGCACTAAGACAAACAAGGAGCCAGAGTTACAACAGAATAGAGGTCACCGATGGTACTGCAGCCTACAAACACATGGACTAGAAGCCACCCAAAGCACTGCAGCCTCAATCCATATGGACTAGAGGCCACCCGTGGTACTGCAGAAAAAAACACAACTGATCAGATAAGCGGTGTCTCTCTCTCTGGTGTCTCTCTCTGGTCTCTCTCTGTGGTCTTTCTGTGGTCTCTCTGTGGTCTCTCTGTGGTCTCTCTGTGGTCTCTCTGTGGTCTCTCTGTGGTCTCTCTGTGGTCTCTCTGTGGTCTCTCTGTGGTCTCTCTCTGTGGTCTCTCTCCTGATTGGCTCTTTAAGACACAGACGTAAAATAAAGCAGTAGAACCTTGTCTTGTGCGGCTCGTCCTGCAATCTTGGCGCTGGCAATTTCAGAGCTGGTTCTCCGCGGGACTCTCCTCCTCACGGTCCTCCCTTCCTCCTCTGAGAGGACCTTCTCTTCTCGTAAGTTTCGGTCTCTGTCTTTGCTCCGGGCCTGGTTCTGGTTCTGTCTGTTGCCCTGTCTGAAGCTCACGTTGTACCTGAAGAACCAAAACATATGAGAAACAAAAGCCTCTGTCTCTGTGATTTCACTTCACAACAAGAGTGTGAAAGTAGAGTGGTGCAATCTCTATAGTGAAGAGACTCAGACACATGTATACACTGAAAGTAAAAGTTTGGACTGAACGACAAAACAAATTCTATACAATTAATAATGAGGCAACATCACAGCACTAAAGAGCCCTAAAGAGCACATACCATGGATTTGAGCCCAAAATGTTGTGTGTAACACAAACGTTACTGAGCTAGAGGAGTTTCCCATGAGTACTTCCCTATTGGGCTTCATTGAGCTAGGATGTTAGTATTGTCTATCTGTATAAAGTCTATGCACTGAACAGAAAACTGTTTTTAATGGGATAAATAGTACAATCCATAAACAAACATGTACACGTACTACAAAGAGGATTAGTGCGACGCGACTTGGGAGGTTAACTTTCCATAAATATTGCTATGTTTTCTATGCTAATATTTCTATTGGATACAATATAGATTTGTATTAAGTTCAGTAGGGCGAGGATATGTGTTTGTGCCAGAAGTTCCTGGTACTAGCATGGATGGATCTAAACACAGCTCCAGGTGAGTGACAGTGTAGTGTTGTGGTTAAAGCTGGTGGTTGGGTCGATGCAGATGTAAAATCACCTCTTTGCGCAGGACATGGAGCAGAAACGTTTGGTGCCTCTGAACTGGCTCTCCGGAGCAAAGTTTTTACAATACTCACACTTTAGCACTGCAACAGAACAAGTAAAACATGGCTAAATGTTAAACAAAGAGCGAAAATCAACATTTTAGCCATTAAAGCTGGGGTACCTAACTCCCCCCACATAAATAATACATGTTATGTGTCCTGACAGAGAGTAAAATGCTATACTAAGGTGTGTGTGTGTGTGTGTGTGTGTGTGTGTGAGTTAGTTTCACAGCTGGTCATGAGCCTCTGTCTCTGTAATTATAGCTCATTCCTGAGGCTCTACACTGACAGGAGATAATGTGGGGTTTTCACTGTTCTGTGTTGGATGTATTTGTTGTGCGAAATGTGTGTGTTTGTGTGTGTGTGTGTGTGCGCCCATGTGTATGTGTACATACTATGTATGTGTGTGTACATAAGACAGTGTTACCTGGGGTTGCGGTTTCTGACTGGTCGTTCTCAATGCTCTCACTCACAAGCTCCTCTCCTGCAGCATCTTTGATTGGCCCACAGACCTGTCAGTCAAACAGTCACAGTTACAGCCTGGCCAGATGTCACAGCAGGGCTTCGGTGCGAGCAGACGGTAGTAACTCACAGGGAACGGCTCGGCGCCCTCCTGGATCACAAAGCCTTCGATGAGGTGCGTAAGGACCGAGGGTTTGACCACGGCCTGAGGGGGGGGCCCGCGCTCTGATTGAACACCACCGCGAGAGACAGAGAGGAGTGGAACCACCGAGGGAGGGCGAGGGGGAGGTAGGGGGGAGGTGTCTGAGAGAGAGAGCAGGGAAAGCTCATGAGTTTATATACCGGTATATAGGGTAAACATGTAAAAAGCACATAATCTGCTGCAATTCATTGCAAGTGAAAATGTATTGTCTTTCCCATTATTAGTATTTCCCATAAGTAAGTTTTAATAATATCTCAGGTGAAATGATGTCCTGATCTGTGTTTGCTGCGCTGGTGGCAGCACAGGAAGTTACAGGCAGAAAGTAATTTTTAGCCTTAATACATGTTTCACATTTCATAAGATTCTGAAGATAATATTTAAAGTTTTTAAACATGCAATGACAAAGTAAATATTATTATTATTCTATATCATTTTAACAGCCAAAACATATGTAATATTTCTTATATAAAAGACAGAAATCTGGTGTGAACATCACACCAGATTTCTGTCTGTTGTAACATGTAGAGTTAGAGATTGGTGCATTTCGCCAGAATGGATGAAGAACTACAACGTTTCAATAAACATATCTGATACATATAGATACGTATCCGGAAATACATACATGTTTTTGTCTTCAGAATTTCAAAAGAATAAAATGCAAAATAAGAAACCTGTTTCTGTCTGATTGGTCAGCTGTGTAGAGCCTTGGTCTCTGATTGGCTGGAGTCGTGGAGGAGTGGGTCCGTCTTCATGAGTTGAAATTGACTCAGATTTTCTTTTGAGAGAATTTACCAACTGCTTTCCCTGAAAACAAGATCAACATTAAAGCTGTTTTAAACTTTTCTATAGAGACATACATCAGTGAAGAGGGACCAGAAAGAGACCAGAGAACGAGACCAAAGAGAGAGACCAGAGAGAGAAAAAAGAGAGACTAGAGAGGGACTAGAGAGAGAGTAAGTAAGTAATCTTTATTTATATACCGCCTTTCACAGACCAGAGTAACAAAGCGGTTTACAATTGTTATTTTTGGGCATTTGTCCTCTCACTCCACACAGAGATGGGAGCGGGGAGACCAGAGAGAAAGCAGAGACGTCAAAACGCTGCTGTTACCTGTGTGTTGTGGCTTCTTGCCGTGTCCCCATTGGTCACAGTTCGTTTTTCGTCCGTTGCCGCTGACAGCCGCGACGCCGGTGAAGCGCTGGACTTCTGTGAAGGAGGGGCGGAGCCTGTGGTTACGTGACCATTCTGTCCTGTGCTCTGTTTGGTCTGCGGATGCACCTGCGACACCTGAGCCAATGGGGCGGCCTCTTTCACCGACTGCAGCGTCTTCAGCCCAACACCACGGCCCTGAAGGGGAAGGGTAGCGACAGACATGAGGATACAGAGATAAAACATGCATCTGTATCTGACAGATTAGGCCCGCAATTTACAATGAAATTACAAGGACAAGGAATTCTAAGAGTTAATAAGAACTACAGCACATAATCAATATTAAACACTTTAGTCGGCTGCACAGAGGAGTAGGAACTGATTCTACATGATACCACAACAACTTCTTTTCACTCGTTAGTGACGCCATAAGTAAATGTCAAGTAAAGAGAGAGAGAGAGAACAGAAAGAGAAAGACCAGAGCGAGGGCTGAGAGAGGGAGAGACCAGAGAGAGGCCAGAGAAAAGAGAGAAACCAAAGAGAGAGACTAGAGAGGCCAGCAAGAAAGACGGATAACCCACCTCTAACCGCCCCACCACTCCGCTCTCCCTGGATGCGAGAGATGCCACCATGGTGAGGAGGCTGGACGAGCTGCTCAGGACTGCCCCCTCCTGGCTGCAGCTGCTGCGGGCCAGAGCCAGGGCCTGGGAGCTGGGACGAGCCCCCACGATCTGCACAGGGATGTGGGGGGTCTGGTGGGAGGAGCTGGTGGAGGTAGGAGGGGCTGGAAGGATGGGGGGAGGGTTTCTGGAGGGGAGGGTGAGGGGGAGTCTCAGGCCCTGCAGGGTCTTAGGTTGGATGGGAACAGGTTTCTCTGCACTCAAGGTGCTTTTGTGCAACGGCTGACGAGAGGCAAGCTGAGCAGAGAGAAGGTGTGGACCGTCACCTGCAGAGAGAGCGTGAGGAGTCAAAGTATTTCCTGAGGGTCAGAGACCAGAGAGAGACCAGAGAGTGAGAGAGCGACCTAAGAGAGGAGTCAAACGATGTCTTAATAATGAAAGACCAGAGCGAGACCAGAGCGAGGCCTGAGACAGAGAGAGAGACCAAAGAGTCAAACTATTTCCTGAGAGTGAAAAACCAGAGAGACCTTAGAAGGTTCTTCAAATAAGTCTGACAGATTGGACAGATCCGATAGACCACGCCCCCGCCTCTCTGTGGTCTCAGGAGAAACCACAGCAACCAAAGTCATGTGTCACCTTTGACAAAGGCAGAATGCTATTGCCCAAACATGTGGTAAAAAGCAGTGCTAGCTTCTTTACACTTTTCACCAAACCCACTCAGTTAAAATCTGTGACCTGTGACCTGTGTGTGAGCTGTACCTGTTTTGTGTGCACCGAGGGCGCTCTTCTGCAGCGGCTGCACCACCAGCGTCTGTGCGTTCACCGCAGGTTTGATGGTCGCCGTGTAGCCGTGCGTCTGCGAGGAGGAGGTCTGCACCAGGATGTGGGCGCCAGCTGGAGTCCGAGGACCATGGAGTAGCAGCTGGGACAGGGGGATGGAGGAGGTGGAGGAGGAGGTCTGAGCTTTCGGGTACGTGGGGATCTTGATGTGGGACTGGACAGGTTTGGACGGGGACTGTGTGGTGGATTGGTGAGACGGCTGCACCAGGGAGAAGGGAGCTGGGGGAGCAGATGTTACATTACATTAGATTAGATTACTTTAATCTCAGAGGAGGCAGCAGAATAGAGGTGTGGAGTGAGAGACAAATGCCCCAAAAAATAACGATTGTAAAGGGGGTAGTAGAATAGAGCTGAGAAGGGTGGAATAAAGAATAGTGCAGTAAGTTTCGCCCTTTCCTGGTACATTGAAAACATAGAAGCCAAAACGTGTATCTTGTTAGTCTCGTTAGAGTCTCACCAGAGTCTCCTCGGTCCGGTGCTTCTGTTTTGACTCCCACAGCTTTTGGAGTGGGTGCACTTCGGATGGCTAAGTTCTGTGCCTATAAACCAGGCAGACAAAATGAACAGCATGTTAAGTATAGAACGCATGGTCAGAGTGATGTATAAGGGTCCTCACCTGCTCGTGGTCCTGGGCTCCGCCAGACGCGTTCACTTCTTGGTGTTGCTGCTGTGGTTGCTGGGTGACTGTTGCCACTGCAGCAGTCGCGGTGGAGCTGGGCATAAAGATGAGCTGAGGAGAGATGGGTGAACGCAGAGACCGGTTCACCTGCAAACGAGAGGAGTGTGAGACAAGACCAGAAAGACACCAGGAAAGGAAAAAGAGAGAAAAGAGAGAGCAGAGAGAGAAATGAGAGAGCAGAGCGAGCATATACAGAGAGAGAGATAACCCAGGGTGATGAAAGCCAGAGAGAGACCAGAGAGTAGAGAGAGAGGCCAGAGAGAGAGACCAGAGAAAGACCACAGAGAGAGGCGAGAGAGTGCAAGAGAGCAGAGATAAAGAGATGACCCAGGGAGAGGGGAGCCAGGGAGAGACAAGAGAGAGAGTAGACGAGATAAAGCAGAGAGAGAGAGCAGAGAGACTAGAGAGAGACCACAGAGAGAAAGACCAGAAAGAGAGCCCAGAGAGAGAGACCAGAGACACCAGACAGAGACAGGAGAGAGACCAGATAGAGAAACGTCGCCCCTACTCGGCTTTTACAAATACTGTAAATTGAACTTATAATAAACCACTCACCCTTAGATACATCTGTCCCTGTCCTCCTGCCGCTCCACTGAACAGCACTGATTGGCTGATGGTGGACGTGGTGGACGCGTTGACTGGCCGGCTGCTGCTGGGGGCGGAGCTCGTTCCAGAAGTGGTGCTGGCCTAGAACAAACAGAGACCAGCAGGTTTGTACATAACATGAGATCATAGGCTTCAGTGATGGAGAAGGAATTCAAAAGGAGCGTCAGATGAGCAGAAGATGAGGACGTACGGATGTGGTGCTGGTGGTCTGAGTGGAGCTGCTGCTGGACGGACTGGACTGGCGGCTCGCAGCTAATGTGGCCTAGGAGAAAGTTATCATAGGTTTAGTTAGTTTAGTTTAGTCTTTGTACATGTCCTTTTGCTTGTATGTGAATGTGTTGACGACATCTGGGGCTAGTTCAAGCTTAAGCCTTTGCAAACATGTAATCTGACTGGAGAAGTTCCCCAAACTAAAGTCCCCTCCACACCACAAGAGCCATGCGTGTAGGCTCGCGGCGTGCATACTGTTTCTCTGTGAAGTCTATGAAGAAGTACTGTGTGTGTGTGTTTGTCCTCATGGTCTCTGTGGCTTTTGTCAGATGCCAGACAAGTAAAAAAATATGCTTAGTAGTTCTTTTAATAAGACAAACGTGTAAAGAAGTTCGTACTGCTAATTACTGCTAATTACTTAAGGGAGACTGGTTTTGGTGGTAGACTTCCTCGGAATTCTTCTACCACTAAAAACATAACTCATCTCTCTCTGGGGCCAGCAATCCCCGGAAAGAGAGATTCTGGACTCGCTGGGGGACTATCCTGGTCAATCAACGGGCAATAAATATTGTGAAATCAGGGCCTTTAGACAGAAGGGGTGGGGAGACATGTTTGAGCCAAAAGTTCCTATAGATATACTAGAATCTAAAACAAACTATTATTTGTCTCTTTTACATTATATCAACCATGAGGGACATTCAAATGTAAGCTCACAGTGGAAATGAAATGTTTGATTGAGTCCCCCTCCTCCTCCTCCTTTTCTTCTTCTTCCTCCTCCTCTTACTCCTCCTCCTCCACTCCTCCTCCCCCTTACGGCACAGTCATACCCACCTTGACCTGTTGCACTGCAGCCAGTTGTGCGTTGTTGATCTGCTGCTGGAGCATGAGCTGCTGGAAATACTGTGCTGCGTTAGGCTGTCGCTGCAGCGCTTGAAGAGCCTGAGGAGAGAGAGAGAGAGAGATGAGAGGGAGGAGAGAGAGGAGAGAGAGGAGAGAGGAGAAAGAGGAGAGAGAGGTGAGAGAGTAGAAAGAGGGGAGAGGAGAAAAGAGAGAGGGCGAAACCCTAACCCCATCAACAAAGTGTTCATGGATGAAGTTTGGCTCCTCTCTCTAGCGCCTATTGACTTCTAGTGAAAGTTAACTCCTCTAGCTCAGTAACCGTTTGTGTCTGTGATCCTGCGATGTATTCATTCATTCATTAAAATCTCCTTTATTTATCCATATCTGGGTCGGGGAAATGGCAATCAGAGCTATCACCCAATGCTCATAGAACCACTCTTTTTGATCCTACTGCAGGTGGTGGGTTCTGGGTCTTTCAGGAGGGGCTTCAGGCAAAGTGTCTTGACCAGCTACACAACGACAGCAGACTTCAGTGGGAGCAGATGGAGTAGGTCTTTTGGGGGCATTGAAGCCACGACCATTAGGCTCTACCAAGTCAGCCACCCTAGATTTGTACAGTATATTGTCTATTAATTTCAGATATGAGCCCTAATAGCCAATCAATTCAATTCAATAAAATGTATTTGTGTATCTGGGCGACAGTAGCTCAGTTGGTAGAGCATTGGCCTTTTTGGGCCTGAAGGTCGTGGGTTCGAGCCCACCGTAAGACCTACTTCACGACTCCCACTGATGACTACTGTCGTTGTGTCCTTGGGCAAGACACTTAACCCTACTTTGCCCAAAGCCCCAACTGAAAGATCTCAGCTCCTGTGGACTCACCACCTGCAAGAGGATCAGTGAGGGGCTGGTGCTATGTGTAGTGGGTGCAGCTCTGACTGCCACCCCCCTGACCCAGAAATGGATTAAGGGGAAGAAAATGGATGGATGTGTATCTCCCTAAACAGCAGTCGTCCTAAGTAGGGGTGTGACGATATATCGATTTTTCGATATATCGCGATACTTTCTCCCGCAATTCGATTATCGATATGCATTTTTTTTTTATATAATTTATTTATTTATAAAAATTGGTATCAATACTTAATATATGGCTACATTACGCATCTCCATTCCCTTTATCATGAAATAAAGTGTATTTTTTCTTTTATTTATGCCATAAATTGGCATATTGTATATTTCTGACCAATATATCAATAATCGTCATATCGTGATAAAATCGTTATTGTGATATTATCGTTATCGTGAGCTTTGTATTGTGTATCGTATCGTATCGTGAGGTACCCTTAGGTTCCCACCCCTAGTCCTCAGAGGACTTTCCGGTTTGTAAGCGGAAAGTTACAAAGAAATGCAAAAACAAACACATACAAGCCATTGATTCATAGGGGGCGGGCGGACCATTGTACTGTGGTCATGCAGGAGGGTCAAAGGACAGTGATGATTACCAATATGTGGTTGAACTGTTTGATTCTATGATAATAATAAGAATAATAAGAATAATAATAATAATAATAATGATAATTGTACAAAAGGCTCCTTCGTTTGAGTGTTCTATAATTTAGTTTGTTGCGTGCGGTTCCTGGAGTGTCCACTTGAGGGCGCACCTACCCTTTACCTGGTACAGACGATGCCGAGAGGGAAAACACCCCTTTTGCTTTCTACAACTCTACGGGTCAGATGTGGTCTGTTGCTGTGCTCCTAAGTGTGCGTTTGTGACTGAAGTAAGTTCCCAAGGCCCACTGTGATTGTTGTAAACAAGTGTAGAAGCATTTTGAGTTCATTACATGAGTAGTTTTATATAGATTTCCTTGTTGCCTTTGTAGCTGCATAGAGCTAACTAAGATAATCGTAGTGTGCAGTTTGGGGTAGTGTGGGATATATGTGCCTATTTTGTATCTTTAAGTTTATGTAACCCTTTACATTGTGTTGTATTGAGGAGCACTTTGTAATTGAGTATTTTCTTTTCTGTTTAATTTGCAGATACCACACTCTCACAGCCAGACAAATGTTCAATACAAAGACCTATCATCAACCCGTCTTGTCATTGTCTCCTTTCTGAATATCATTGTGGCTCAAGTAGTGTTCTGGCCGACATTCCAGGATAGTAACCGCTTCAACACAAAACTAGCACCTTTATACAGTCCTTGTAGTCCACCACATGAGTTATCTACCCTACATTGATGGTCCTTCGAGACGGATGAAGCAGTTTCTGTTTGTGTAAGATGGATGATATTCAGAGCTTCACTCCACTTGGTGCACGCCCCAAGCGCACGGCACGTCGACCCCTCCGTTATGAAGATTATGAAACCGATTTTCCTGATACTGAAGTGCACAACCCACATGGAGGGACACTGTCACCACTAGGCAACGCTGCCTACTCTCCCCTACCCCATATGCATTATGAGGAGTTCCCACAAGATGATATGTACCCTACAAGAGCAGATATGGAGGAGCTGCAAGGGGAGAGATATTTTGCCCAGCAGGCACATGAGAGGATGAGAGCGGGACTGGCTGACGTCCAGGCCATTCATACGAGTATGCAGCAACTGCTAAACCGGGCTGAGAATCTGCAGCTCACCACCCCACCTCACCAACCACCCTATACTGTTATTGATGAAGAGGAGGACTGGCCTCCACCCCCCCTTGGTTGGCTGAGTTTAAAGAAGAACCTGTCTCTAACCCGAATCCCCTCATGAACCGACTAGACATAATGATGAACGAGCTTCAGAGCCTGAAGAGGGAATCATTGGCGGCCCAGGAGAGTCAAACATTCCCCCCTATAATCCCCAGCCAGCCAAAGATCACGCCTCCTCCCATGCCACCTCTTAGAGTACCTGCCCGGCCAGAGCAACGTCCTCCACCACCTTCTGATCCCTCATGGTGGACACCACCGGCCCAAAGACCTTTAAGACAGGTAGCAGCGCCTGAGATGACCTACAGGGGTCCTCGCCCAAGCATTCCCAAGCTCATAAACTGGGATCCTAGGGAACTCGCTCGCCTGAAGATGGCGCTGGAGAACCTACTGCCCCTGGACAGTACAGAGCTATTTAAATACCAAGTCTTGTTAGATCACTTATACCTAGAGGAGGCTAAGTTAATCGCTGACGCTTACCTGCATTCCACCACACCTTTCAGTGACACCATGGCTGCTCTCAATGATAAGCTTGGCCAACCACACCAGCTTGCCCTGAGAAGGATTGCAGCTGTGATGGACTCACCTGACATTCGCAGAGGAGACGTGGTTGCGTTTGAGAAATTTTCCCTCCAAATCCAGTCACTCGTGGGCATGTTGAAGATCTTAGGTCCGGACGGTGAAGTTGAACTCCAGTGTGGCTCCCATGTGGCACGGCTCCTGAGCAAGCTCCCTCCAGAGCAGAGAGCTGACTTTCGCCGGTGCATGTACAATCGCTCTGGTCAGACTTACACCCTCAATGACCTGGCTATGTGGTTGAAATACGAGTCATGGTGTCAGGATTTTGATGGCCTACCCACTCCCAAGAATACCACAGAGAGGCCTGACACGAAACCAAGTAAGCACCCTACCACAGTGTTTCACACCACAGACAATGCACCCCATTCCACTGACAACAACCTTAACCAACCGAAGCAGCAACCGTACTGCGCCTTCTGCGAGAATCGTGCTCACCACCTGAGTCAATGCCCTGAAATCATCAAGCTAAGCCAAGAGCAACTGACTGACTGGATAAAGACCAACAGGAGATGCTGGCGCTGCGCCCGAGCACATCAGGCCGCTCAGTGTACCCTCAAGAAACCCTGCAACCTCTGCCAGGGCCGACATCTACAGGTCCTTCATAAAGTAAACACTGCCCCGAAGACGCCTGCCCCTGATAACGTCCCTGCTCTAGAGGCTGAGAATACAACTGGTGTCCTGTACCTTGACCGTGCTACAGAGAGCGGCCGCGTCTTGTTGAAGGTAGTTCCCGTCACCCTCCACCATAATGGTAAGACTCTGAGTACTCATGCAGTTTTGGACGATGGCTCGGAGAGAACCATGCTGCTTCCCGCTGCTGCCCATAGGTTAGACATTCCTGGCACCCCAGAGACACTCTCCCTACGCACAATAAGACAAGATGTGCAGACGCTACATGGCTCGGGTGTTTCCTTTTACATCTCTCCTGAGGGCCAACCCAAGCTGAAGTACCGGGTCAACAATGCCTTTACAGCAAACCGTATCGACCTAGCCGAGCACAGTTACCCAATAGAGTCTCTCCAGCGGAAGTACAAACACCTCCGAGGGCTGCCCCTCCAGTCCTTCAGGAAGGTCAAACCACTCCTACTCATTGGTAGTGACCACCCACAGCTCATCACGCCTACCGAAGCAGTGCGTCTCGGACCACCGGGTGGCCCCGCAGCCCTGTGCACCAGGTTAGGTTGGACATTACAGGGCCCCTCTAGCCTCATCTGCGCTTCCTCCCCACCACAGCAGTGCCTCTTCACCACCAGTGTTGCTCCTCAGGTGAGTGAATTACTGAAACACGTAGAGAAGCTATGGCAAGCAGATGTTATACCAGTAAAGTCAGGAAAGGTAGTTACACGCTCAAGAGAAGATAACTACGCTGTCAGCCTGCTCGAGCTAAAGACAGTCCGTGTTGAGGTAGATGACATACACAGGTACGCTACTCCTCTACTACGTCGTCAGAGCATGCCCCTTCTTAAGGCAACCCCTAATGCCGTCATACCTAGTTTGAGAAGCATCGAGAGGAGGCTCCAGAAAAACCCAGAGCAAGCTCGGGTCTACTCTGCAGAGATAGATAAGTTGGTACAAGTCGGGTCTGTAGTTAAGTTGTCCCCTTCTGAAGTCGCCCAAGCAGATGAGTCGTGGTATATCCCGCACGACCTTGTTAGCCACAATGGCAAGCATCGCCTCGTGTTTAACTGTTCGTTCCAGTTTCAGGACCGAACTCTCAATGAACATCTCTTACCTGGCCCAACCTTAGGAGCGTCCTTACTAGGTGTCCTCCTCCGCTTTCGAGAGCATGCCGTGGCAGTTAGTGGTGACATAAAGGGCATGTTCCACCAGATTCGCCTGCTTCCCGAGGACCGCTCTCTCCTGCGCTTTGTGTGGCGTGACTTGCACCCAGAGGAACCGGTCTCGGTGTTTGAATGGCAGGTTCTACCCTTTGGTACAACTTGTAGCCCCTGTTGTGCGATTTTCGCACTGCAAAGCCACACGAAGGCTCACACACAAGCTGATGATCTGCTCCGTCACTCTGTAGAACAGTGTTTTTATGTTGATAACCTTCTCCAGAGTGTTCCGTCCCCTGAAGAAGCTCGTGCTCTAGCTGACAAACTTAGAGCCCTCTTGTCTCCTGCTGGCTTTGTCCTTCGTCAGTGGGCCAGTAACGAGCCCAGCACCATTAGCCACCTTCCAGAAGACCTTAGATCTGAGAGTGCTGAACTCTGGCTCGCCCACGATAAAGCAGACACCTCTGAGCCGACCCTGGGACTTAGTTGGCACTTTCCCACCGACATCTTAGGCTACAAACACCGGCCTGTGAGTTACGGTAGCCCAACCATGCGGAACATTTACAAAGTTCTCGCCAGCCAGTATGACCCACTAGGCTTCATCTTACCCTACACCACCCGGGCCAAAATGCTGGTGAGGCGCCTCTGGGAACAACAGAGAGGCTGGGATGACCCTCAGCTACCACCAGATCTCTTACAAGTGTGGAGAACGTGGGAAGATGAGCTGCAGTTCCTTCCGCAAATTCAGCTCCCCCGGCCTTACCTACCAAAGCACATCAATATGCCTGTACGAGAGAGAGAGATTCACATCTTTTGTGATGCATCCGAACAGGCCTATGGAGCTGTAGCCTACATACGAACCGTAACCAGTGATGGCACCATTCATCTAGCATTCTTAATGGCTCGTTCAAGAGTTGCCCCTAAACGTTTGCTCTCCATGCCTAGACTCGAGCTGTGCGGTGCCTTTGTGGGAGCCCATCTTTCTAGTCTCATTGCGAATGAGCTCACGCTAGACATCAAGACAACAGTGTTGTGGTCAGACTCCACTACAGTACTTACCTGGCTGAGATCTGAGTCTTGCCGCTTCAAGATTTTCGTCGGGACCCGCATAGCTGAGATTCAGGAGCTGACCACATCCCACACCTGGCGTTATGTTGAGTCATCTCAGAATCCTGCTGATGATATAACCCGAGGGAAGTCCCTTTTGGAACTTACAAAACCTAACAGGTGGAGCCAAGGACCCCCTTTCCTACTCCTACCTCCAGAACAATGGCCCTCAGAGCCAAGTAGCACTGTGGCTGGGCCTCCTGACTCAATCGAGCTCCGCAAAGAGACCTTCTGTGCAGTCACTGTCACCACGGATTCTGCCAGCAACAATGAATACAACACCTGGTTGGAATTATTGGAGTCAACCATCCCACTGTTGCACGGGGCGGCTACTCAAGATGGACTGCCATCAGCTGATGAATACCTGCATGCGGAGATCTTTGTATTGAGACGGGCTCAGAAGGAAAGCTTCCCGGAGGAGTACCGGCTCCTCAAGTCCAGTAAACCCATCAGCCGTAGCAGTCGCCTCATTGCCCTCTCGCCTGAATTTGACCAGGAGAGTCAAGTCATTCGGGTAGGTGGGCGTCTTCGTCGCTCTGAAGATCTTGCCTACTCTAACGTCCATCCTTTAGTCCTGGATCCAGTACACCCAATCACCCGGCTACTTATTCAGGACTTTGACAGACGTCTACGCCACCCAGGGCCAGAGAGGGTTTGCGCTGAGATCCGGCGTGCATATTGGATCCTGAGAGGCCGAGAAGCAATTCGCAACTTCCAAAGAACTTGTCCTGAGTGCTGCCGTTGGAGATCCCGACCAACCGTTCCCAAGATGGCTGACCTGCCAGCGGCTCGCCTGCGCCTTTACAAACCCGCCTTTTATTCGACAGGAATGGATTGCTTTGGGCCCTTTGAAGTTAAAATAGGGCGGCGAGTAGAGAAGAGGTGGGGCATAATATTTAAATGCCTTACCACCCGAGCAGTTCACCTTGATGTCCTAACTTCCCTTGACACTGACTCCTTCCTCATGGCACTCTGACGTTTCATTGCCAGGAGAGGAAGTCCTGCTGAGCTGTATTCTGATCAAGGTACTAACTTCCGTGGTGGGGAGGGTGAACTCCGTGCTGCCTTTGAGTCTATGACCTCCGATCTGCAGAAGTTTCTGGCGCCGAGGAAGATACTCTTCCGCTTCAATCCGCCAGCTGCTCCTCACTTCGGCGGAGCGTGGGAGCGGGAGATTCGATCAGTCAAGACTGCGCTCTTCACTACAGTTGGAGCCCAATCCGTGCCTGAAGAAGTTCTGCGCACAGTCTTAGTGGAGGTAGAGGGCATCCTTAACTCCAAACCGTTGGGGTATGTCCCTTCTGATGTCAGCGACCCTGATCCCGTGACCCCAAATTGCCTTTTGATGGGGCGGCCCGACGGATCACTGCCACAAGTGGTGTATCCCAAAGAAGAGCTCCTGAGTCGCCGGAGGTGGAAACACTCCCAGGTGTTGGCAGACCACTTCTGGTCCCGTTTCATCAGATTGTACCTTCCTGGCCTGCAGTCCCGACAGAAGTGGCAGTCATCTTCTACAGACGTTGCCACGGGCTCTGTGGCGATGATTGTGGATCCTCAGTTGCCACGCGCTTCCTGGCTCATTGGACGCATCTCCAAGGTCCACCCCAGTCCAGATGGGCTCATCAGGTCTGCTGACGTTAAGGTAAAGGACAGGACACTTACACGCCCTGTAGCGAGGCTGGTAATCCTGCCAGCCCTTCCAGAAGAAGACAATGGACAATCGCCATAAGTTCTATTTGTATTAGCCTTTTGTTCATCAAATGTACTTCATACATTTGGGGGCGGCTGTACAAAAGGCTCCTTCGTTTGAGTGTTCTATAATTTAGTTTGTTGCGTGCGGTTCCTGGAGTGTCCACTTGAGGGCGCACCTACCCTTTACCTGGTACAGACGATGCCGAGAGGGAAAACACCCCTTTTGCTTTCTACAACTCTACGGGTCAGATGTGGTCTGTTGCTGTGCTCCTAAGTGTGCGTTTGTGACTGAAGTAAGTTCCCAAGGCCCACTGTGATTGTTGTAAACAAGTGTAGAAGCATTTTGAGTTCATTACATGAGTAGTTTTATATAGATTTCCTTGTTGCCTGTGTAGCTGCATAGAGCTAACTAAGCTAATCGTAGTGTGCAGTTTGGGGTAGTGTGGGATATATGTGCCTATTTTGTATCTTTAAGTTTATGTAACCCTTTACATTGTGTTGTATTGAGGAGCACTTTGTAATTGAGTATTTTCTTTTCTGTTTAATTTGCAGATACCACACTCTCACAGCCAGACAAATGTTCAATACAAAGACCTATCATCAACCCGTCTTGTCATTGTCTCCTTTCTGAATATCATTGTGGCTCAAGTAGTGTTCTGGCCGACATTCCAGGATAGTAACCGCTTCAACACAAAACTAGCACCTTTATACAGTCCTTGTAGTCCACCACATGAGTTATCTACCCTACAATAATAATGATAATGCATTGGTTTTATATAATGCTCCTCAGGACTCAAAGACGCTTCACATGTCATTATTCATTCACTCCACACACTGTAGTGATAAACTACTACTGTAACCACAGCTGCCCTGGGGCACACTGAGAGATGCGAGGCAACCAGTCTGTGCCATCAGCCCCTCCCACCTCCACCAACCATTCACACACACACACCAGACTCATGTGGTTAAAGTGTCTTGCCTAAGGACACAACCACAGTTTGGTACTTTACAGACGCAGCCGCCTCATTGTAGTTCCTGGTGTTCAGGGTTCTGCCATCACAGTACTAACCCGGCCCTGCATTGCTTAGCTTCAGAGGTCCTCCACAGTGTATGTGATATCAGGGTTTAGACAGTGGGAGGTCTCCTGTCAGTGATGAACGAGCTGTGTCTGTGATAAGTTAAAGCTGAAGAAGAGGAGCCGCAGTTATAGAGAAGAGAAGACAGAGACGGATGGACCAGAAACACCAGACCATAAACTACAGACCTGTCAGGGCCAAGACCAAGACCAGGGCCAAGACTAGGACCAGGGCCAAGACCAGAGACAAGAGACACCAGCGAGAGACAAGAATAAGACCAGTGAGAGACAAGAGAGAGAGATCAGAGAGAGATCAGAGAGGGACCAGAGAGAGACCAGTGAGAAACCACAGAGAGACCAATGCTCCGCACAGAAAAACACACATAGTAAAGTAACGTATAGCAACACAGTGGATGTATTGCACAGGTATTGCACATAGAGTGATCATTATAGCAGATGAACCACAGACTTGGAGGGAGGACTCACCTGAACGGCCTGGCGCTCGTACAGACTCATGGAGTTCATGGCAGAGGGGCGGGAGCTCGTGCCTGACGCTGCGCTGCCATTGGTCGAGGCTCTCTGCTGGTCCCCATCCGTCTCCATGGCTACGCCGAGACAGAGATCAAAGAGTCAAACAAGCAGAGATTGGACGATATGTGTATGTGCATGTGAGTGGAGGAGTGGAGAAGGTTAAAAACTTAAAGCAGTGGACAGTAGCATATATGTTCACAGTGCGGTTTGGACATGAAGAAGAGTTCTGTATTCTTCCATTCCTCCTCTACATCGTCCCAGTCCATTATGTGACATTCTCTGCTGCAGCTGTCACATGTTGCTGATTTGAGGTTTTTCTGAGTTGCTTCTTCCTCAGTTGAGCTTGTTTGTCGTGCTTCTGCTATTCCTTCTTCACATTCATTCTGATGCTGGTGCAGAACAGAAAGAGCGTTCAGCCCCAGAACAAAGGCACATCAGAAGGAATCATGAACAAAATAGAGACGAAGGGCCTCCACCTCAGCTCACACATGGGACTCACTTCTCTAAAGACCACAGTCGTGGCCAGCCTGAAGGAACTGAGGGGGCGTGGCCAGTCTGAGGAATGGTCTAAGTCCAAAAGAGTTTACTTTCAGACACTCAGATTTATGTCTCACTCACTACAGGGGAACATGGAACAGTGGATTAAACTCCTTTACTGCATCCAACAGATCAGTGAGTCGATGCAAAACAACTTCCTTCAGCTAAACACAGACAAAACCAAAATGATTGTCTCTGGCCCCCAGAAAGAGTGTCATCTGTCACCTCCAATCTCTCTCTCTAAAACCTTCAAATAAGGTCAGAAATCTTGGGGTAATACTGGCCTCAGATGTGAATTTGTATAGCCACATTAAATTAGTAACATCAGCAGCTTTTTACCGCCTAAAGCAGACTTGGAGATTCTTATCCATGCATTTGCCTCCAGTAGGTTAGACTACTGCAATGGCCTAGCTGTGCACAGGTCTCTCCAAACAAGCGGTTAAACAGCTGCAGTACATTCAAAATGCTGCAGCTCGAGTCCTGACTAGAACCAGGAAGTATGATTACATTAGTCCAGTTCTCAGGGCTTTGCACTGGCTTCCTCTGGCTCAGAGAACAGACTTTAAAATGTGGTAAAGTCTATTCTGAGCTGTTCAGCTCTGCTTGTGTACAAGTCTCTCTATGGCCTCGCACCAGAGTACACTTGACTCCTCACTACTACACTACTCCTCCACAGAGTACAAGTGACATGTTAGTGCCATTTGAACAAACTCGGACTCTTGAGAAGCACAGGTACTGGCTTCCTGCTGGTCCTGGAGTCAGAACTAGATTTGAGGAGGCTGCATTTCAGATTCATGCTGCTTAAATCTGGAACAATCTTCCTGAAAATGTGAGACAGGCCTCTTCTCTGACAATGTTAAAAACTATTTATCTGTGCATACAACTAAGGGATTTTTTTTCGTTTAATCTTTCTTTTTAATATACTGTAATCATTTATGATTTCAAAGCTATACGATTGTTCCTGTCTGTTTTTGCTCCAGTACTTGGAGCTGCCTTGTGTATGATTTGTGCTACACAAATAAACTAAGTCGGTAGGAGTCAGAAAGAGTTGGAGCTAAACTTTGTCCACGATCTCTACTCTATTGAGTTTCATTGAGCTAGCGGGGTTAGCATTGTCCATCTACAGTATACACAGACAATAGTTCCACAATGCCTTTTTATCCAAAAATATTGTGATTCAGATTTAACTTTCTAAAACTGATAAAAGCTGATATTGTGCATCTCTACATAGTCCATGCTCATTTTACATGTGTGTGTATCTAATATAAATTGTCAGGACAGGGTGTTTAATGACTCCAGGGTGAGTGTAGAATCCGCTGCAGGTCTTTTATGAGGCGAATGCAGCAAAGCGTTTTAATGAGTTGTAACCTGACCTAGATATGAGACACCAGCCCAGTTATCAACCTGCAGTTTTCAGAGGCAAGAGAATAATGCCTTCAAAGGTTTATTACACTGGAGTAAAACTGCTGTCACTCAAATCCATCTGACGAGTTCCTCAGAATCCTCAAACTCACAAAATCAGATCGGAAAATTGTAATCTCACCGTTTCTCAATCTCAATTATTGCTGTGAGCATTAAAATCATGAATCTTTCTCCTAAACTCAACAACCATCTCCTCCTGCCTCCCTGACTATGGCTTTTGCTGTCTCATTATTTTTGCTGATTTCTGTGTGTCTGCAATTGTGCTTTTTTTTTTTTTTTTACAGTGTGATCCTCAAAAAACCAGTACATAATATACAACATCATATCCATCTTTGGTCACTCGCTGATCTCTCTCTGGTGTCTTTCTGATCTATCTAGTCTCTATCTGGTCTGTCTCCCTCTAGTCTCTTTCTCCAGTCTCTCTCTCTCTGGCCTCTCTAACTGGCCTTCCTCTCTGGTCTCTCTCTCATCTCTCTATCTGGTCTTTCTCTCTGGTCTCGCTCTAGTCTCGCTCTGATCCTGATCTTTCTCTGGTCTCTCTCTAGTCTCTTTTCGTAGCCCTCAGTCCTCAGTGTAACAGTAAAAAGAAACTAAAATGTCTCCCCAGATCACCCAGCTTTAATCTGGTTCTATCACGTTGTATATCTGGTATCTTTAGATCAGCTTTTCAGACAGAAATGTGAAAGGACCACCCTCACACAGCCAATCAGCTCTCAGCCCAAATAGTCAAATAGCAGAGGTGGGACAAAGTCATTGTTTAGCAAGTCACAAGTCAGTCTCAATTCATTGCCCTCAAGTCCCGAGTCAAGTCACGAGTCAAGACAGGCAAGTCCCGAGTCGAGTCCAAGTCAAAGGCCAACAAATCTCAAGTCAGTCCCAAGTCCTACGGTTTGACTTTCGAGTCCTCTCGAGTCTTTTTGACCGCGATTTGTTTCTTGTTGGTCTCCACGTACTTTTGTAGGCAAACAAAATAATGTTAGGAATCATTTTGCTGGTGCATTCTCGTTGGTCTCTGACCCATGGACTAACAGTTTGTTCCATGTCGTTGGCTGCTGATAAATCAAAACTATCTACGTGATCTAATTGGATGTTGTGCCAGATGCAGGCTCAGTTACACATGCACAGACCACACATAAAATCAGAGCAGTCCGTGTCAACATACTTTTTATCTTTGGGGTTTTTAATGGGAAGTAGCAAGTGCAGCATATATGAATATGAGTATTGGGCTAGGACCTGTATCTATATAATCAGTTTAATGTCCGTAGTGGTTATTGTTCCAAATGTCCTACTGTAGAATAGGGGTAGTATGAGGGGTCTAGGCTTTGGACCTGGGGCAGCTCGCCATCAACTGGACCAGCATTAGCAATATCTCATAATTACCAATATATCATTACATAATAAAATGTCTCATATAAATTAATTCAATCAGTCAAAGCACTGATTCTCATATCAATGCACCATAAACAATAGTGCAAATATTAATCTAGCTTAGTGCACATAATCAAAACAACTATCTAATGTATGCAAACTTTAGCAGGAGGAGCACAGCAAAAACATACTCATAATAATAGGCCTCGGCGCCCACACAGAAAAATATAAGAAAGAGCCAACAGAGCAGCGCAGGCTAGCGCTAGTTTGACTCACCAGTTCCTCTTTAAAACACGGCACAGAGTGTGACAACTGCGTCGATTCAATTGTATGAGGCGCCTGTAGTGAAAGCATATAATTACGGTTTGTAGAACAAAATATGACGTTAGGTCGCGATAAATACCTGCAGCTCGCTCATTTCCAGCTCCCCTACGACAACACACCCACCGGTGAATGCAGTCCGCTTGTTTAGGGAAGTGTTGCTGCTCGAACTGCCTGGAACTCACGTTCGAACTCTCTCGCGAGCGCTACAACTACCGCGAGGCTTTGTTTCTTCAGAGACGGCATAGATAGAAAGAGAGATGCGGAGAAAGGTAAAAATGGCCCGGGTTACGCAAGTCTTTACAAGTCAATTGGCGCAAGTCCAAGTGAAAGTCAGAGTCATTGATGTTAAAGTCGAGTTGCAAGTCTTTTTATATTTGGTCAAGTCGAGTCTAAAGTCATCAAAATCATGACTCGAGTCTGACTCGAGTCCAAGTCACATGACTCGAGTCCACACCTCTGTCAAATAGTGACTCAATATTCATCACATGAAACACAATTAAAATAGTTACGCCCAACAGAATTATCTACTACTACATACTACAGTTTCATGGTCAGAGTCTGGGCGGATAATATGAAATTTAACTAAACACATCCAACCCACTCCATTCCAAACTATTGCCACTAACTACAGCCCTCTCAAGCCTCCAGCAACAAGTCGCATTCACCCAAACACCTCTATATAAAGATTACAGATACGTTCACAAGGCAAATATCCACTATGCAATGCTGGTCCTATTGCTAATTGTATAAGATAAGATGTACTTTATTAATCTCACACAGGAGAAATTTCCATGTCACATTGGCAAGGATAGGAACACTCAAGAAATGTGCAAAAAGTAAGAAACGTGCAACATGTTAATGCAGGATATATTATGAACAAAAAGTGTCAATTAGAAAGTGGCAATCAAGAAAGAAGTGTCAATAGTAGTGCAGGTTTTTCAGTCTTAATGCAGTGACTTAAAGTGACTTGTTGTACAGTCTGACAGTGGTGGGGATAAAGGCCCTGCGGTAGCGCTCCTTCTTGCACTGAGGGTGTCTCAGTCTTCCACTGAAGAAGCTCCTCAGCTCCTCTACAGTCCTGTGCAGTGGGTGGGAGGTATTGTTCATGATGGAGGTGGCTTTGGCTAGCACCCTCCTGTCCCTCACCTCCTCCACAGAGTCCAGGGGACAGCCCAGAGTGGAGCTGGCCCTCCTGACCAGCTTGTTCAGTCTGTTTCTGTCCCGTTCTGTGCTGCCCGGGGCCCAGCACACGGCAGCGTAGCAGAGGCTACCACAGAGTCATAAAAAGTCCTGGGCAGAGACCTGCTCACTCCGAAGGACCTCAGCCTCCTCAGAAGGAAGAGGCGACTTTGGCCCTTCTTTTACAGGGCGTTGGTGTTAGGGGACCAGTCCAGTTTATTGTTAATGTGAACACCCAGGTACTTGAAGCTGTCCACCAGCACAATGTCCTCCCCCTTCATGGCCCTTCATATAGTTAGGCCCTATATATATATATATATATAATATATATATATATATATATTTTGTAAATGGTTAAAATGGCTTTATTACAATAACAGTGTTTAGAGAATGTCTGATATGCAGCAGAAGATTTGATAAAGCTGCATTAAGTAATTAAAGCTAAATGTACATAATCACACGTATACCATGTAGCGGATAGCTGAGTGGTATAATAAACTGCTTCATAAAATACAGTGTTTGCAATTAAAAGTGTTCCAAAAATACTAATATATTTTAAGCTTTTAACCAGTAATTATTCAGTTTTCAGTCATCACCGCTAGCTTGTCCTGTATAAGGGTTTGTATCTGGTCAGGGTCCTTTAAACCTGCTCCATCTGCCTTGCTTCACTTCTCACTCGTGTTTTGTTCTTTCCTTCTACGCTATTCTTACATTTTAAATAAAGATTCACAGTGCAGCATTATCACCAAGTCTCCTGCTCGGTTCGGAAATAAATCAAGCGGACAAAGCTCTCCCATCTTCCCCGGCTTTAGCTGCACCTCTCCCGGCCTCCAGAGCTCCGCGAGCCCCCCCTCCTCCAGAGCCAAACACGGAGCCTGTTAGCATTAGCCACAGTTAGCATGCTAAAGGCTAGAGAGCGCAGGGTCTTCTATGGCTACAATCCTAAATGTTGACTTTCAGACAAATCTCCAGGGGTAATTGCATACATGTGGCCCAGGGAATGTTGATAATATTCTCTCTAAAGACAGTGCATTGAGAATGATGTCATATTTAAGAAAAAAAACGTGCATTATTGTGTAATGATAATGCATGGGTTTAAAACGCTTTCTTGGATTCTTAAATGGCATCATTCACTCTGTACACAGTAGTGAGTGATGTATACAGAATGGTGTAATAGACATACAAACTTCTCTTTGATTTAAATGTTGTATACGTTTCATGAATATACCTATGTAATTACTTGTTATTAACAGGAGTGTATTGATATGTGTACTATGTTGTACCCATCCTCAGTCCTGGATCTAAAGCCTCAGTCCTGGATCTACAGACTCAGTCCTGGATCTACAGACTCAGTCCTGGGTCTACAGCCTCAGTCCTGGGTCTACAGCCTCAGTCCTGGGTCTACAGCCTCAGTCCTGGATCTACAGCCTCAGTCCTGGATCTACAGCCTCAGTCCTGGATCTACAGCCTCAGTGCTGGGTTTCTGAGTGGTTCCTCTCTGATGCAGGAGGGTCTAGGGACAGTAATTTCTGGACATTGGTCATCCTGCTCCCTATGGACCAGTCGCCTCATGTGTTTGTTATTATTACATTTTCTGTGTTCAAACTGTTTGATTCTCTGATCTGTTGTTGGCGAATTCACAACTTTGTTAAGTCCTCCAAGATGAGTGCTGTTGTGATTTAGGACTGTAAACAAATACATTTAATTGATTTGAATAATGGAAGAAAAAAACTATATATGTTGGCCTCAATATTTATCGTCTATGCATTTTATTTATTTATTTTATTTATTCGTTTATTGGACAGGAACAGTGTACATTAATGAACATTACTGTAAATGTAACAGTATAAGTATTTTTCTTCAAACGCACATCAATGATGTTTTCTTTGCAAGGTCAGGTTTTAGGTTAAGTGATTTTTGAAGTGCTGTCCAAAATATTGCGTTTGCGTGACCAACTTTATTAGTGTGTGATCAGTGTGAACTATTTAAAAAATGGTTCAAGTGACATAAAGATTAAAGATTAATTTGTGATAAATTGCGAGTTAACGATGACATTCGTAATATGCTCCGATTGTCTCTGGATGCGACACGTATGTGTCTTTCGATGTGTGACGTAACAACATGGTTATAAAAACCATGTCCTGACTTTGTTCCGTCTGAGAAAACTGAAAAAACTGAAACAACTGAAACTTGAAGGAACCTAATAAACTTCCAGAAGCTCTGGTGCACAAAGATACCGTCTCTGTGTGATTCATTTTCCACAGTGCGATTAATCGTGATTTTAAAAATTAATTGCTGGACAGCACTAGATTTTTGTAATAGTGATTATTACGTTTCCAATTAAAAAAAAGTTAAAATTCTTCACTAATCTTTTTATCTTAGTGAAGCACGAGCTCTTTAATGCTTTAAATTCTGCATTCGGGGCATGAAGCAGTTTCAATAGTATTGTTTGTCATGGCTAAATAATTTCCTGTTTAGCTTAAGACAAAGATTGAACATCAGATACGTGTCCAGAGGTTTGTGTAAATATGTATCAGTATTTCAGAATATGGACAAAATACTACCATCAATCAGTTTTGTTGAATTTGACAGTCCCAAAATGGCGGCCGTCTCTGCGCTCTCTAGAGTCTCTTCTCTCCGTAGCCCCGTTAGCAGCAGCAGAGACAGCGGACCTGAGCTAACCCTCACCCCCCTCGGTCCCCGGCCTCTCACCGCCTGCGGAGCTCCTCTGCTGGGGTCGCGGGGCTCCTGTCACACCCTCCGCACGATTCCCAGTCCGCTCGGGCCTCGGTACCGCGGAATAAGGGCCTGGATCACGGGTTCGGACGGCAGCGTTAACGGTGGATGACGCTTCGCTGTTTTGCATAAATCTGCAGCTGATGTTGGTGTCAGAGAGAAGCCACGCCCCCTGCTGGTGGGATGACGCGAAGACCCCCCTCTGTCCAATGAGTAACGACACTGTCATAAAACATCTACTGTCTGCCACTAATCTCCAGCACAGACTTTTATAAATCAACCATTCATGACGAGAGCAAGCGAGACTGCGAGACTTACAGTGGGAGGCAGCTGTAGAGATGGAGAGGTGAGCTCAATAAGACGGAAGGAGCTCGGAGTAGAGCCGCTGATCTAATCCAGTTCAATGTATTTTTGTATTGCCTAATGTCACAACAACAGTCGTCTCAGAGGCTTTACAAAGTTGTTGATTTGCAAACCACAGATTCAAGAATCAAATAGTGCAAACACAGGAAATGCAATATTTACAAACAAGTGGGATTCATCGGTTCACAGGGAGCGGGATGACTGAGACTGTAGATCCAGGACTGAGACCTTCTGAAGACCTCCGTGGTGATATGTTACAGTCATGTCTGTGTCATTATGTCCGCTAACACAGTGTTATCCAGCCAACTTCAGCTCCACTAATATATACTGCGTGGTGTACCTGGTTGGAAAGCACAGAACCTTTAGAATCGAACCATTGACTCAATATTTTGTACTGATCTGTGTTATTACTGCTGCTGATGTTTGAGCACAGGCCATTGGTCTGAATGGGCAGACGTCTCGGAGACCTGGGGCTTGGTTTACAGTCATAAAGCGGGGAACCTTGAACGGATGAAAGAATAAACAGACACAGAAAACAGGTTGAAATAAACTTTTACTAAAAACGTTTGTCCACAACAGGAAGTGACACATCACCCCAAATAAAAACACCACCATGCATCGGCCGCACATAGACATCTGTTTAGAAAAAACTATTTACACAATACTCTTTTTACAGTGAGAGACTAAAGTGGCGATGGTTTAGGAGCAGTGTGCTGAAGTGATCTACTCGTCTGACACTGAGAAGCAGAGAAAGTCAACGTATTAAGCATTTGGCCAAAAATCACTGCATTTCCAGCTGTAACACATCACTTAACCACAGAGACACAACCAAAGCCAGCATCGAGGAAATCTTTCATTGCTTTGAGGAACAATAGGTGAGTTTTATGTGAAATAACTGCATTTTTCATACAATTTACACACGTCACTTGTTGCTACATAAAGACCAGACACTGGATATTAAGACGACAAGTTACAAAGTCAAATTCAACATTAAAAGCGTGACGTTTATGCAAAAACCAGAGATGTGACAGCAATAGGCACAAGAGTGGGGGACTGACAGTGATCAGAATGCAACAGAACAGAATGGATATTTATATGGCTTCAGAAATACAATGAGAAAAACATTTATTAAAGATGCAGCCATTTTAAAAGTCTATGTAAAGTAAATGTGCTTCAGTGAGTGTTTTGGAATGTCACGTGGTGCGGCGTTTAACATGTGACAAAGTGTCTGGTGAAGATGAAACGATACAACAATATTAAGTCTGTGTCGAGAATCAGAGAAAACTAATAGATTTCTCACTGTCACAGTTCCGTACCTTTGTCTGAGAACCTTTGAATCCACAGTCATTCCAAGGCTCGTTAAAGCTGCAATCTGTTTAAACTGGAATGTTTTGTACTTTTAAATAATTATACTTCATTGTCTCCAAAGGAAAATGTCTCCTCTGCATTTGACCCAATCTTGGCTGAGTGTACAGGTGTGGATTCCCTACAGAACCAGAGCTGGAGGAATGGTTTTAGTGGTAGGCGAAACTGGAGCACCAGGAGGAAACCTATGTGCTTATGTGTGTGTGTGTGTATGTGTGTGCTGGCGTGTAGTGTAAAATGTGTTGACCATTCATAATTAATACATTTTTGACTGAATAATGAATTGCTGTGGCCCAAAACAAACATCCAAGCCGGTGCCTTTGATTAGTGAAGTTTTTCTTGATTGATAATCAGAGAGACATATTTAAAATCATTTTTCTGTGACACTTTTACGACTCAGATCTTCCATCCATGCAGCAAAAAGGGGTTGGATTAAGTGACAGTTTTCGTACAGGACCACATCACCAAGAGCCAAACAACAACAACAACTTCTGCAGCAAAACAAGAGACAAACGAGACAGAAACCGTCTGCATTCCACCAGTAACACAACACTGGACTCACACACAACTGAACTAAGGATCCGTGGATTCATTTATCAGATTTCACTTACAGTACAGTGATTTAAGTTAAAGATACATTATACAGAACATACAATCTTTAAGGGAGAAGAGCAGAGGTGGGTAGAGAACTTCTCCTGAGGGTTTTGTTTGTGTTTCTCATTTTTATACATAAATATATTAAACCAAATGTCATAAATGTATATCTCAGAGCTAGGAGTAACAGTCTTTATATCTATGTCTGTATAAACTGTGACCCCACATCTCACTGTCCATCTTTAATTATCTGCTTTTAAATGTTTAAAAAAAAATATATTAACAGTACTTTTTCACTGCAACATTGAGTCCCCAGAAAGGCGCCATATACATAAAATATATTATTATTATTACTATATATTATAAGGAAAGCTCAAGGGCCTGACATACACGTTCAAAGGGCCCTCTCTGGCCCTCAGGCCTGGATTTTCCCACTCAGCCTCAGTCTTTGTGTATACTATTAGAGCTCTAGTACAGAATAGACCTGGATTTACTTCTGAATTATACTGGCAATTTAAGTTAAATTCTACTAATGTAACAATTGAGAACTGGATTTGAAACCTTCTGGCTGAGAAGCGAGAGCGCTAACCACTCAGCCACTGTGTCACCCTCATCTCATCTGTGTAAGAGAGCACTTCTCCTTTGTCAAGATAATCCACTGCTTTCTATTGGGTGTGGTATAGAAATAATAAATCATAGATTATGTGTAATGCTAACACAAACAGGACATTTCTCTACCCACCTCAGCATAAGACACAAGGGACTGTGTATTTGGTAACTGTTCCATAACCAAGGTTCTATGATTCTTAGTAACGCAAACTTGAACATACAATCAGTTAGAGGGTGGAAAAAATATATTTAATATTCATGATTCAGTTTGCGAGCAGCAAATGGTTTGAACCGTCCAAATAGAGCTAATATTCTTAAAAATATACATTTCTCTGTTAGCTGTATCGATTAGCATGATTGCACTTTTGTCTCCGGAAATGGCTCGAAGGGGCGAACAACGCAAGCAGAGTCATTTAGAACTCGAGATTAGTTAGTATCTATAGCAACATAATCTGTAGTTTCTATAGGTTAGTTGCGCCCTATTCTATAAAGTGCACCTATAGAGAATACATATTTTCCATTATTTGGGCGATTTCATGTGTAAATTGCACTGTGCTCGAGTTCACCACTGCTTTAATGGTGCTAGTAGCAGAGTGGTTAGCTGTACTTCACCTGAACAAATATATAGTCACGAAGACTGGTGATAAATCAATGTGAATTATTTAAAATATGGTCAGACTCTGGCAACGTCAAAAGTAATTACAACAAAATAGATTGGAGTGCATTGAGAAGGACCATTATAAACTGTGAACTCCAATTGAATAGTTTGAGACATGTGGATGCAGTCACCCTCTTGTACTTGAAATGTTATATCTGGTGTATTTTAATCCAGTGACTACACACAGATCATGTGCAGTTACCTCAATCCCAACTTCAAATATTTGTCACAAAATGGTGGATGTAAATATGAGATTTTCCAATAGATTTGACATAAACAAAGCTAAAGAGAATATCTTAATCTTCTTCTAGATGAGTTTGATTCCAGTGATTCCGGCTCTTTTAAGAGTCAGAAATATTGTGAAATAGTTGCGAATTGTTGATCACACTACAACAGTCTCTGTTGGGCTGCTGCACTGCCCCCATGTGGACAATATGCACCACTGCACTGAACTGCCACTGACAATTCTTTAGCTGATAATTCATTTGATTGATCCAGCAACAACTCTTTGTAATCGGTCTATAGCCCTGTTTCCACCAACCCTATTCTACTCCACTCTTCTCTGCTCTCCCCCGATTGGGAGTGTTTCCACTGGCACTGGTTCTTTCCAGATCGAGCAGGTACTAAAGTGTCCTAACTGAAAGAGCAGAGAGAGTGGCGTAGAGTAGAGTAGAATAGGACACAGTAGAGTAGAGAAGAGTACAATAGAGCAGAGTACAGTAGAGTAGAGTAGAGTATAGTAGAGTACAATAGATTGAAGAAGAGAAGAGTAGATCTGGTGCAAACAGGGATTTTTAGTAAATGCAAAATCCTACATTTACAAACATATTCTATTGTAATTACAGCTTTGTCTGAGTCGTCTAAATTCCTATCTCAACACGCAGAATGTGTCAATGCTGCGTGAGTCAATTAACAAGTATTTAAAATAGTTGAAAGTTGGTGAGAATCAGTGAGAAAACAAAGCCCACTACTGACCTCGGTCCTTGAAGCTTGTGTTTTGGACATTGAATAGAACTTTGGCGTCGCATATGTTTTCCCTTATTTGTCCTGTATTTGACACTAAGTCGCAATATATAGAAATATTACTGAGTTATATTGCACAAAAGGTAGAAGTTGTGAATTTCATAAGCTCATAAATCTACCCTCAATATTCACCCCCCACTAAACTAATCTATTCAAATGTATATATTCTATTTCATTCTACAATCTCTAAAGTCTTTGAAAAATAGTGACTTATAATTTCATTTCCTCATCTACAGAAGCCCAAGATTGACTAAGATTTAAATATACAATGTTTGAATAAGGTAATTATCCCAGAATGTCAGTGTCTTCTATGGTTCAGTCCGTTTGACTTCATGTTTGAGATAAATTCCTGTTATAAATGTAAAAAGTTCACTAAGTCTTTAGAAGGTTCTTTAAGGCAAAACTGTAAAGAAGCTAGTACTGCTTTATTACCTGAGCTTAAAGACATTGTGTTCCAAATCTTCTGTGTATTAAGTGTAAAAAGTCTATTAAGAGATAACGAAGCAGTACTACTTCTTTAAACTTCTGTCTTATCAAAAGAACCTTCTGAGCAGTACAATGTAGTTCTATTTTTGCTTTGAGTGCACTGTCTCTGTCTCTTACACTAGGAACGGTTTGAATCTGAGCCAGACAAGCGACAGGGAAATATTACAACAACATTATAACTATTGAGAACCCTTTTTTGACCTGAAGGCCACATTTCTGATGGTATTCAGGCGTTGTTGACATCTGTGAGTACAAACCATAGACTGCATATGAGGCAAACCATTGTGTAAGCTTTAAAATGGAAGAAGCTATTAAGAGATGACTTGAACAGACGATTTGTGCTAAATGTAGAGCCATGGTGTTGTAAAGATGGCGCTGTGGCAAGAGCTCTGATGTGTGTGTCGTCTGGTGCACACTGCAGTAGTCTTGCAGTAATGTGGTTTTACTGCAAATGGCAAATAAATTCTTGTAAATGTATGCTAATTTTGTTACCAGCAACAACCAAGTCACCAAGAGATAGCATGGTCCATTTATATACAGTCTATGGTCCAAACTTACACATTTGTGCCAGAGGCCAAAAATACATGTATGTGAAAACTAGTGATAGAATAAAATTGGGTTGAGAGCGAGGAACTAGTAAGATGGATCTGTTCTGTATGGAAAGTTAAGTACCTCAGCTTTAACCTTTTGTCAAATCCCTCAGGTTTCTTTTATCAATCTGAACTCTGTGTGTGGACCTCAGACCACCCTCCAGGAACCTGGTCATGATCCCGCTACACGCTCTCCTGAGCTATGGCGTTCTTATCGTTGAGTGGCGTGGTCTCGGAGGCAGTGTTCTCTGAGGCCTTGGTTTTGGGGGCCTTGGTCTCGGAGGTGGGGGTCTTGGCAGGAGCAGCTTCCACCAGAGGGACCTTCTCTCTATCTGGAGACCTGGAGGAGATGGTGGTGGAGGCCGGTGCTTCGGCGGGGGTGGAGCTGGAGCTGGGAGCAGGAGGAGGTCCACCGAAGCCCTGAGCGATCTCGTCAAAGGTCTTGCCTTTGGTCTCCGGCACTTTGATGAAGGTGAAGATGAAGAAGAAGACGAGGAAAGCGGTGAAGATGAGGAAGACCCAGGGACCACACAGCTCCTGCAAAGAGAGGGGCAGGTTACTAACATCCTTTTAGGATTTAAACGCTATACGTTCCAGATGCGTGTCAATGCTGAGAGGAGTATGTTTATTTTGGACCAGTATAGTGTAGCCCCTGTGGACTTCAGAAGCCACTCATTAAAGGAATGGAGCAAGAGCTGGCTAACCGATGCGCTATCATGCGCTATTGCATTTTTTCACATTTTTCTGCTCTGCTGCAATTTTGAAAGAGCACCATAGAGGAAAAAGGTGGTGGCACATTACTTTCAACAGGGGAGTAAATATGGCGCCGTAATTATTAACGCCATGAATACTATTAGTAATTACAGTCTATGGCTTAAACACATTGTCCTGCTGTTAAGAATTGTCCAAACTAAAGATTAGAACAATGATGTGTCCACACATTTACGACACACACTTAGAGGTGGGTGCACTTCTGCTGCTTCCCAGAAAGTCAAGTGCAGTCAGAGGCAGAGCGTTTAGCTCCAAGCTCCTTTACTGTGGAATCAGATCCCCATCAACAGTAGGGAGGCAGACACAGTCTCTATGTCTAAAAAACATAAACTGTCAGTGATGCTGCATGTAGAGTCCCCTACTGGAGAAGTAAGATAACAGCACTATCCTCTTCTACTGTATCTGTCATCATCATGACTACAGCTGTAGTCTGTTTTTTGCTCTTCACCCGCTGTCCCCTTTTCTGTTTCATGTTGTGTTCATATGACCTCTAGACCCGGCCTCTTTGACCTGCACTGGACTTACAGGCTGCTCCTGAACACCCCCCCTCAGTCCTGGGAGCAGATCCCTCTCTCAACATGGACCTTCCTGAGGTCTCTCACTTTTTCACCCTGGGTTTCTGAGCGGTGTCTCACTGATGCAGGAGGGTCTAAGGACAGTCACGATCCAGGACATTTATAAACCTTTTTAGACAGTGGTCATCCCTCTCCCTATGAACCACTGGCCATGTCTTTGTTATTATTGCATTTCTTGTGTTTGAACTGTTTGATAATGTAAATATAATCAAGACAATTGTTGAAATTGTTGTTTTTAACTGCAAACGCGTAAAACTGCTGTGCGCAATATAAGAAAAAATGTGTCCTTGTGTCCCATCGCTCAACACAGAGACCTACGTCGATCTAATCTTGTATGACACTATGGACTTACCACCAGTTTGGGGAAGCTCATTCCAACCAGGAAGTTGGCGGTCCAGTTGCAGCAGCCGGCCACAGCCATGGCGGCCGGACGAGGGCCCTGAGAGAAGAGCTCCGCGACAATGAACCAGGGGATGGGACCAGGACCCATCTCAAACATGGCCACGAACAGCATCACGGCCAGGATGGCCACGTAGCTCATGAAGGTGAAGCTTTTCTGTTCAATGAGAAAGAGAACAAGCATAAAGCTTCAGTCCTGGATCTACTGCCTCAGTCCTGGATCTACAGCCTCAGTCCTGGATCTATGTCCCGCTCCCTATGGACCAATGGCTCCGTTAAAAATAAAGCAGTGGTGGTTCAACAAGAGCGGTTCTGCTTTATACGGTTTGTAACAACAACATCTGAATCTATGCTGGTATTTGATTGATTGGAGGAAGGAGGAAAACTGAGGTAATGTTGTCCAACTATAATTTACGGCTCCATTTCCTCATTGGTTCAGTGTGAGAGACTTCAATTTGCCCTAAAAGCCACAACCCCCAAACAGCTTTTATGAAGTGTTCAAACGTGAGAAGAATAAGTGTAATATTTCTCTTCAGTATTCAGGTCCACAGTATCAGACAGAGGACAAAAGGATTACAGACAAATGTGGAGATGTTTTAGTCTGTTTTGGACTAAAACACAATCACACAACGAGAGCTGGAGAAGGGGAATATCTTTCTTTCAAACAATCTTTCAATAATAATATTTGCAGAGATGATTATGAAGGGCCGCGTTCCTGTCATTTCTGTAATATACAACATGCATTTCCATTTGAAAAATAAATATATATAATATGTTTTTTTCTATTACAGCCTAGGTCCTGGATCTACAGCAGGGATGTCAAACCAGTTCCTCACAGGGCTGCTGTGGCTGCAGGTTTAGTCTGCTGTGCTCCTGCTCAGGTTGGAATTAAAACCTGCAGCCACATCAGCCCTTTGAGGACCGGTTTGACACTCCTGATCTACAGCCTCAGTCCTGGATCTACAGCCTCAGTCCTGGATCTACAGCCTCAGTCCTGGATCTACAGCCTCAGTCCTGGAACTACAGCCTCAGTCCTGGATCTACAGCCTCAGTCCTGGATCTACAGCCTCAGTCCTGGATCTACAGCCTCAGTCCTGGATCTACAGCCTCAGTCCTGGATCTACAGCTATGCTACCACCCTGTCACTCCCTGTGCTGAGAAGTAGAATAAGTTCTGATGTTTTGTGTGATGTCATAGTGGTTCAGTCATGAGGGGGGGGGGGGGGGGGGGGCTCGTGTTTGTACTTGAAGTATATGATATTAGCGTGAATGGATCTGAACACAACTCTACTTTGAACACTATTCATATTTGAAAAAATTGAAGTCGATTTAACAGAACACTGACCAGAAGCAGAGAGATTGTCATGAGTAGAGCACTGACTGCCATTCCCCCCAGACCCAGGAGGTGCAGAGTGCGACGCCCGGCTTTCTCCACCAGGAAGAGCTGAAAGAGCACACACACACACACACACACACACACACACACAAAAGGATCAGAATATGCCATAAAGAAAACTGTAATATCTCTGTCTCTTTCTGGTCTCTCTCTTACCTCTCTCTTGTCTCTCTCAGGTCTGTCTTTGTGGTATCTCTCTGCTCTCCATCTGGTCTTTCTTCTCTCTCTCTAGTCTCTTTCTGGCCATATAATCTCTGATGTCTCTCTCTCTGGTTTCTATCTGGTCTCTCTTTCTGATCTCTCTGGTCTGGTTAAAACACTCACGGAGACAATGGTGAAGATGACGTTGACGATCCCGGCTCCGATTGTGGCGTAGATCGGCTGCTTTACTCCGGCCGACTGAAAGATGCCCGTGGAGTAATAGAAGACCTAAAAAGAACAAACATATTCTGTATATGACTTTTAACATGGTAAGAATATTTACTGTTCTCTGGTCCCTTTCTGTTCACTCTCTCTTATCTCTCTCTGGCCTTTCTCTAGTCTCTCTCTGGACTCTCTATGGTCTCGCTGTGCTGTCTCTGCTCTTTTTGGTCTCCCTCTGGTCTCTCTGTGGTCTCTCTCTTTGGCCTCTCTTTGGCCTTTCTCTGGTTTCTGTGGTCTCTCTCTGGCCTTTCTCTGGTCTCTCTGTGGCCTCTCTCTGGCCTTTCTCTAGTTTCTGTGGTCTCTCTCTGGCCTTTCTCTGGTCTCTCTTTGGTCTCTCTCTGGACTTTCTGTGGTCTCTCTCTCTCTGGCCTCTCTCTGGCTCCTCTTCGGTCTCTCTCTGGCCTCTCTCTGGCCTCTTTCTGGCCTCTCTCTGGCCTCTCTCTGGTCTCTCTCTGGTCTCTCTCTGGACTTTCTCTGGTCTCTCTTTGGTCTCTCTCTGGACTTTCTGTGGTCTCTTTCTCTGGCCTCTCTCTGGCCCCTCTTCGGTCTCTCTCTGGCCTCTCTCTGGCCTCTCTCTGGTCTCTCTCTGGTCTCTCTCTGGTCTCTCTCTTGTCTCTCTCTGGTCTCTCTCTGGTCTATAGTGTCACTCACTGCGTTGATCCCAGACAGTTGCTGTGACAACTGCAGCATGACCGCGATGAGCAGAGGTTGTCTGTATGCCGCAGACCGGAACAGTTCAGCGATGGTCACCTTCTTCTCCAGAGCCATCTTGGCGCTCTCCTCCTTCATCTCATCCATGTCTTTACTCACGTCCTCAGAACCTCGCAGACGCACCAGGGCTGGACACATACCATAGTCAACACCAGAGATGGACACATATCATATACAACACCAGAAATGGACCCAACGCCAGAGAACAGTGAGTCACCTAACAGTAGGATTTTCAGAGATGTCATTGTTTAATATTTACTGTCTATGATTCAAACCAATGGCAGTCACAATGAGAGGAGGGGAGAGAGATGAGTAAGAGTAAAGAAGAGAGAGAGGAAAGAGGAGAGAGAAAAACGAGGAGAGAGAGAGGATCAGAGTTGAGAGAGAAAAGTGAGGTACTAAGTTTTTAAACCGGTTAATCGAACTCTAAATTACAACAAAACCGTTTGGTGAAAAGCTAAATCAGCAAATAAACCAGTCTAGAAGCAGCACGATGAAAAACTGTCATTTCAACTGACATCGCGGCCCCTTCCAGGCGCACATAGCTCTACGTCTTCCTCGCTTGCACCGGGTGAGTACACTGACCCCTGTCTGCCTGGCCCTGCACAACTGGATGTTCCACCTTACTCCTCCACTGTACTAAACATAGTCCAACACGCCATTAATCACATTCCCTGCTTGAAGACGAGACCCAGACCTAAATTAAATGAAACTGGTGAGAACGCCTAATCAGAGGAATTTAATTCCTGTCCCTATTACAAAGATTATGTCTACTGATGTAAAAAAGGGCCTGAAACTTGCTGTTTTTAATGTCAGGTCTCTTTGTAATAAGTCCTTTTTAATTAATGATTTTATTTCTTCATATGAGCTTGATTTTATGTTTTTAACAGAAGTATGGCTCGATAAAAAGAATGCTAATACTGTTTTAATAGAATCCGCCCCACCTAATTTTAAATTTGAATTTGAGGCACGAGAAAATCGTAAAGGTGGAGGCGTGTGTTTTTTGTACCAACAAACTTTTACTTGGGGCCTTTTCTTCTTTTGAGTATGTTTCCTTTAAAATGGAACAGGGAAAATCTCCTCCCATACTCTTCCTAATCGTATATAGACCCCCCAGCACAGCCCAAATTTTATAGATGATTGTACTGAGATGTTGTCAGTTATTTGCGTAGATTTTGATGCCATTGTCATTACTGGTGATTTAAATATCCATATGGATGTTGTTGGTAATAAAGATACCAAAGAGCTCAACTCTTTATTGGAAACCTTTGGTCTATTTCAGCATGTGCGTGATCCCACTCACAGCAAAGGACATATCTTAGACCTTTTAATCACAAGAGGGGTCAATGTGTCAAATGTGCGCGTTGTTGATATATGTCTGTCCGATCACTTCTGTGTTTTCTTTGACCTGTCTTTTCTGCCTAATCCACCAGAAGGTCCTGCTATAGTTCATAGAAGACATATAAATGAAAGCACTGGTCCACAGTTCATAGAAATGTTACATCTTGATATTACGGAGTGTTCCAATGTTGAGGATTTGTTTAACAACTTTAGTCGGAGTGTTTTATCTGTGATCGAAACCATTGCTCCCATGACGACTAAGTTGGTTACCAGCAAACCAAAAGCACCATGGAGGAATGAAATTGTTGTTAGGGAACAAAAAAGACAGTGCCGGAGGGCTGAGCGCAGGTGCCGCAAGTCCAAGCTCCAAGATCACCATGAGATCTTGGAGCAGAATTATATCTAGTAATGTAAATAACTCTCGTGTCCTGTTCGCAACAGTAAATAGATTAACAAATCCACCTTCTCAGTTGCCACTAGGGTTTAATACAGCTGCTAAGTGCAACGAGTTTGCTTATTTTTTCAATGAAAAGGTACAGAGAATAAAAAACACAATCACTCCTGTCCCACAAACAGAAATCTTAAATCCAACTCGAGAGTATGATTTCCCTAACTTCCTTACTGTCAACAACAATACAGTCCAGAATATAGTTTCCAGCATGAGCACGTCAACTTGTAGCCTTGATGTTTTGCCCACTAAGTTTTTTAACTTAGTAATCAAAGTAATAATCAATTTATCCCTTCAATCAGGAATTTTCCCAAGGGCTCTTAAAGTCGCAGTCATCAGGCCTCTTCAAAAGAAAAGCAGTCTTGATGCCACAGTACTGCAAAATTATCGACCAATTTCAAATCTGCCATTTCTGGGAAAGATACTTGAAAAAGTTGTTCATCAACAACTCATGGATTTTTTGTTAGTCAACAACATATTCAATGTGCATCAGTCTGGATTTAGACCGTCCCATAGCACTGAGACTGCACTAATAAAGGTGACTAATGATATTCGACTGAACACTGATGCCGGGAACACTTCAGTGTTAGTTCTATTAGATTTGAGTGCGGCCTTTGATACGGTTGATCATGAAATCCTCTTGGAGAGACTGGAAAAGTGGGTGGGTATTTCTGGTACTGCCCTTGATTGGTGTAGGTCCTACCTGCAGGACAGAATGCATGTTGTAGAAATAGGAGACTGTGCTTCAGATCATATGGCACTGACATGTGGAGTGCCCCAAGGGTCAATCCTGGGGCCTCTCCTATTTAATATCTACATGCTGCCACTAGGCCAGCTAATCCACAGAAGCAATGTGTCCTATCACAATTATGCAGATGACACCCAATTATATGTTTCATTTACTGCAGGGGAATATGGACCAATACATTCCCTCTGCCAGTGCATTCAAACGATCAGTGAGTGGATGCAAAACAATTTCCTTCAACTTAACCCAGATAAAACTGAAGTTATTGTTTTTGGCCCACAAAAACAAAGAGAAAATATTAACAGTTACATCCAGTCTCTCTCCTTAAAACCAACAAATGAAGTAAGAAATCTTGGGGTAGTAATGGACTCTGACCTTAAATTTGATAGGCACATAAAATCTATAACATCAGCAGCCTTCTATCATCTAAAAAATATTGCCAAAATTAAAAATATGTTGTCTAAATCAGATATGGAAAAACTTATCCATGCATTTGTCACTAGTAGATTAGACTACTGCAATGGCCTGATCACAGGTCTGTCCAAACAGGCGTTTAAACAGCTGCAGTACATCCAAAATGCAGCAGCTCGAGTCCTGACTAGAACCAGGAAGTACGACCATATTAGTCCAGTCCTCAGGTCTTTGCACTGGCTTCCTGTGGCTCAGAGAATTGATTTTAAAGCAGCTCTGCTGGTGTACAAGTCTCTACATGGTCTTGCACCGAAGTACATTGGTGACATGTTGGTGCCGTATGAGCCAACTCGGACTCTGAGGAGCGCAGGGACTGGACTCCTGATGGTGCCCAGAGTCAGGACTAGGCATGGAGAGGCTGCATTTCAGGTGTATGCCCCAAAAATCTGGAACAGCCTTCCTGAGGATGTACGGGAGGCCTCATCTTTAGCATTATTTAAGTCTAAGCTGAAAACCGTTCTTTTTAGCTGTGTATATGACTGACTTTTATATATTGAGCTTTTTATATCGTTTTTAATTCTGAAATTCAGTTTGAAATGTTTATTTTTATGCAACAATTATTATTGTTTTTGTTATTATTTTATATTACGTTTTATGTGTTTAAAATGTTTGTAAATGTGTATGATCTTGTGTTCTTGTGAAGCACTTTGGGCTGCACTGCATGAATTGTGCTTTATAAATAAACTTGATTGATTGATTGAAAGTTGGTTACCAAGTGACAGAAAATGGCTATATTTGAAATTCCTAGTTTAGGATTTCCTATTACTTACAATGGCAATAAAACCATCCGTTTCTTAAAGACAAATGGCTGGTTTTTTTTCAATGTGCTTCCTGTGTTTGTTGGAAAATCATCAAAGAATCCTCTGAGATAACCGCTGCTGTGATTTAGGGCGATACACAAATACATTACATTAATTGTAACTAGAAATGAGCATAACAAACAGACCTTTCCGGGCCTGCTCCTCCTGCTTCAGGTTGATGAGCAGGAAGCGTGGGCTCTCAGGACAGAACGGCAGCAGGATGCACTGGAGCACAGCAGGGATCACTGTGAGGGCCAACAGCAGGGGCCACAGCTTCTGAGAGCCCAGCAGACTCTCCAGGCCGAAGATCTGCACAGAGAGGAGGGTCAAGGGTCAGCACAGATGTCATCGCAGAGGTCAGAGGGAAATCATAGCAGATGGACAATGCCAACATAGACTGTATACAGATGGATTATGTAATATATAAACATATAAACACTCATGCTCCAGCTAGCTTATATAGCACTTTTTTGGACACTCAAAGACACTTTACAAAAAATAAAAAATACCTCCTCATTTGTGCTGCACGACATATTGTGAAAAAATTTGTCATTGCGATATTGGTATATGCAATATCTATAGCTAAACTTTGACAAATCTGCTGCGACTTAGTGCCACCACACGCTCTAGTGGAGCATGTTCTCAAAACACACTTTAGACAAAAATATTGAAATAATATCATTATTGAAACTCTAAACTCCAATATTGTGAAGCCCTACTCCTTATAATCAACTCAATTAGTGTGTTGCGGAAAACATGTAACTAAAATAAGGTTCCTAACTGAGGACAAATAATTCTTAGAAGACATACATACAGTATATATAAACATCACAAGTATGGCAGTAAGGCTAACACTGTGGTGATGTCACACTCAGTCCACTCCTAGAACACAGTGATACCTGAGCGATGAGGATGCCCACCACCACCCCGAGCTGGTGCAGGGTCCCGAAGGCTCCGCGGAGGGAAGTGGGGGACAACTCCCCCACATACATGGGGGTGAGTCCAGTAAAGAGGCCACAGAACAGTCCGATAACCAGACGACCAGCAATCACCATCTCATACGAGGAGCAGATAGTGGAGCCGCCCATGAGGAGGCCCCCGATCACAGCCAAAATATTCACCACAAACATGGATCTTCGTCTGGAGAGAGAGACCACAGCCTTTGTCCTGGATCTACAGCCTCAGTCCTGGATCTACAGCCTCAGTCCTGGATCTACAGCCTCAGTCCTGGTCTACAGCCTCAGTCCTGGATTTACAGCATCAGTCCTGGGTCTACAGCCTCAGTCCTTTGATCTACAGCCTCAGTCCTGGATCTATAGCATCAGTCCTGGGTCTACAGCCTGAGTCCTGGATCTACAGCATCAGTCCTGGGTCTACAGCCTGAGTCCTGGATCTACAGCCTCAGTCCTAGATTCACAGCCTCCTTCTTGGGTCTACAACCTCAGTCCGGTGTCTACAGCCTCAGTCCTGGATCTATAGCCTCAGTCTTGGGTCTACAGCCTCAGTCCTGGATCTACTTCCTCAGTCTTGGGTCTACAGCCTCAGTTCTGGATCTATAGGACAGTGTTCAGAGCCTCAGTACCTTCCCAGTCCATTGGCCATGACCCCGACGCTGAAGGACCCCGCCATGCCTCCCACACTGAAGATGGCGACAGAGACGCTCCAGACCGTGGTGCATATGCTGGGGCTGATGGGCTCGCCGTATCGCTCCATCCAGGTGTCGTTGAAGAAGGACCGCAGCTTCTACAGGACAAGGAACAAGGGAACAGGTCAGAGAAGTACAAACTTGTGAAACATGTGTATCAGAAGGACAGGTTTGGACCATAGGCTTCTACAGGACCAGGGACAGAGGAACGTAGACACATCAAACTTTGTCATGTCTGTTGCAGCATCCAATTGATATAGATTTAATTTTTGAGAGTACATAAGATAAGAGATCCTTTATTGTCCCACAGTGGTTACATTTCAACGTAGCAGCACAAATGCAGGACAGTTGTAAGAGACACAGGGAGCCCACAAAATATAATAGTGCAAAGTTATATACTGTACATTATAGTGCAGGGTGATAAGTAGATATCATTCAGTGACATTCTGAAGTTGCAGTATTGCACATTGCACATGATTGTAGTATTTCCTTATTTGCAGCTGAATTACATTTACAGGCTCAACAATTAAGTCTGTCACTGAAACTGCTCTCCAGAGCAGACAGAGTGTCCTGCAGGGGGCGGCAGTCATGGTCCAGCATAGCTGTTACAGCATATGATTACAAGCCCTGATGAAAACAGCACGTTGAAATGTGTTGACAAATTAAACCCAGAACTTTTTGAATACGAGTGCCTCTGACTTAATCTCTCTCGAGATAGATGTTAGTTTGTCCATGTCCCTCTTTTATACCTATTTTTTACCCCTATTGGACAAAAGATACCTTATTTTTAACATGTTTGCACACTTCCTGTCTTTTCCACACCGTGAGTGATCCTATTTATGCCAAATGTGACATGTACATTTCTTCATTGTGAGATCAATAAAGTTTGATCTCATCTCTCTTGAAAACAGAAACAATGGTGATATTAAGTTTGTTTTGTCCATGCCATTGAGTCAGATTGTTAACCATTATCTGTGAATGACTAACTAACACATGTATCAATACATACCAAGTGCCATTTATAAACAGTAGCTACACTTTGTTGTTGTTACTTTAAACCATGTTTAACCTTTTAATGTCTTTTCGTCAGATTTAGCGCTCGTCGCTTTCTTCCTGCCTCGACCGAAAAGTTGTCACAATAAAACATGTTCCTAATAATATAACAAAAGCGCTAATCGACCTTTACATATCTTACAGTTTGTGTTCAGCAGCTTGCAAAAGTATTAATACAGCTTGAGCTTTTGCAAATTTTGTTTTGTTTACAACCATAAACATTTATTTTCTTGTTCTTACTGAGCGTTCACATACAGTACAAGTGACAGACATCTGTTTAGTAAAATAAGTACAATTATTATGATTCTGTTATTGTAAAAAAGAAAAGAAAACAAAAGTGAATACTGTGTGGAACCTCGTTTAGCTGCAACAACAGCAGCAAGTCTTCTGTGGGAAGACTTTATCTGCACATCTAGAGAGTCTAAAGTTTAGCCCATTCCTCTTTACAAAACAACTCTGTCAGATTAGATGGAGAGGGTTTGTGAACAGTAGATCCTCTATGGGATTTAGTTCTGAGTTTAGCGAGTTAGCATTGTCTGTCTGTATGTTGTGTGTCTTTGTGTCCTATACCTGTACGTATGAGTGTGTCATGTTTGTGTATGTATGGATTTGTGTATGTGTATGTTTCTTCTGTATTTCTTTTTGTCTCTGTTTGCTGTGATCGTTTCTCACCTGCTCAGGAGCATTGATGACTCCAGTGTTGTATCCAAACTGTAGAGACCCGATCACCGCTGTGGCCAGAGAGAAGAGGAGGTACCCCGTCACCTGCTTCGGCTGCAGACACACACACACACAAGCATGCACACACACGCACGCACGCACGCACGCACACACACACAAAGACACACAATTAGAAAAAAAAACCATTATGATCTTCTGCAAACTTGTTAGAAAGAGCACTGGGAATCACGTTTTGATTCTATGAGCTGAGAGCTGATTGAGGGTGGTCCTCTCTTTTTCACTTTTCTGTCTAAAAAAGCTGAACTAAAGATGTCACAGAGGCCAGAAATACATGTCTGAGACCAGAGAGACCAGAGAGAGCCCAGATAGAGTCCAGAGAGAGAACAAAGAGGGAGACCAGAGAGAGAGGCCATAGAGAGACCAGAGAGATTGGCCTCTTCTGCCTTAAGGATAGCACTGTGGTGATATCAGTCTTCTCCTAAAACACACTCTTCATAAGAAAAATCCAATATCTCCACAATAACAGTTATGATTTCATATTAAGGGTTTGGAGTTTGTGATGAAGCTGAGGGTGAGGAGAAAGACAGTGGTCATCAATAACACATGAGGTCATTCTGCAGCTTTATGAAAGAAGAGGACCAGGGCCAGAGCCAGACCAGGACCAGGACCATTACCAGGAGCAGGACCAGGGCTAAGACTAGGACATGTGATTGTTTCAGAGTGTGGATCATTGTGACGGTGCCCAAAGGTTCTGCTCCGGTAATCACATAGATCTGTCTCAGTAATGTAATCAGACAGACGGATACAGACTGTCGTCTCTGTGGAGATTTTTCATATGAAACCAGACCTCAGTCCTCCGGCTGAGGACAAAAGGACCAGGGTTCACTTGTGTGGAGCGTTCACATCTGCACCAATGAACCAGGACCAAGAGATTTCAATAAAAAGGACTCGCCACAAGGTTCAGGAAAATAGGAGACATCCAGAGGGGATGTTCACCCTATAGCCTCATGGATCTACAGCCTCAGTCCTGGGTCTACAGCCACAGTTATGGGTCTACAACCTCAGTCCTGGGTCTACAGCCTCAGTCCTGAGTTACCTTTGCAAATGTATATCAAAAGTGACTCTAATCACAAATAAATACAGCATTTATTTTATCGTAATCTAATATTGTCTCTGGATCTAAATTGTTTAGATGCAAGTCATTCTAGGTTTTAGAATGAGGCCCGAGTCAGCTGAGCTCTGTGATATATGACCATGAGATCAGGTGACACACACACACCCACACACACACACCCACAAACACACTCATGCACTCACTCACTCATGTACGCACGCAGGCATGCACATACACACAGCTAACAATAAGTAAACCAAACGTCACCCCAAGAAAATTAAATATTTAGCAAAGATATGCATATGCATGTAACTCCTGATGACCCCACCAGTGGGAGGTGAATCTCTCTGGTCTCTCTGGTTGCTCTCTCTATCGCTGTTCTCTTTCTGGTCTCTCTCTGGTCTATCTCTGGTCTCTCTATGGTCTCTTTCTGGTCTCTTTCTGCCTCCTGAATGTCTCCAGCCTGAGCTCTGCTGCTGGTTCCCTTGTTGATGTCTTCCTGGTCGCGGTGACATTTGTGAAAAACAGATCGATGTGTTTGAAAGCCTCAGTCCACTGGGTGTGGACTGAGGAGCAAATGGATGAAGAGACTTAAGCCGATTTAGAGGGGAGAGGCAAAGACTGTAGCTTCCGATGGGGGAACCATTTCTATTATTAACACAGCAAATGACAAATAAACTGAACATGAATACAGACTATGCAGAAGTACACTGACATAGACTGTAGATGGATGAACAATGCTAACCTGCTAATTTACGGCCTCGGCCCTGGATCTACAGCCTCAGTCCCGAATCTACAGCCTCAGTCCTGGATCTACAGCCTCAGTCCTGCATCTACAGCCTCCGTCCTGGATCTACAGTCTCAGTCCTGGATCTACAGTCTCAGTCCTGCATCTACAGCCTCCGTCCTGGATCTACAGTCTCAGTCCTGGATCTACAGCCTCAGTCCTGGATCTACAGCCTCCGTCCTGGATCTACAGCCTCCGTCCTGGATCTACAGTCTCAGTCCTGGATCTACAGTCTCAGTCCTGGATCTACAGCCTCAGTCCTGGATCTACAGCCTCAGTCCTGGATCTACAGCCTCAGTCCTGGATCTACAGCCTCAGTCCTGGATCTACAGCCTCAGTCCTGGATCTACAGCCTCAGTCCTGGATCTACAGCCTCAGTCCTGGATCTACAGCCTCAGTCCTGGATCTACAGCCTCAGTCCTGGATATACAGCCTCAGTCATCCCGCTCCCTATGGACCAATAGCACCTATGTGTTTGTTATTATTAGTGCATTTCCTGTGTTCGAACAGTTTCATTCTGCTGTAGTGATTTAGGACTTGAATTAGATATTTTAGTATTTTTATTTTTATTACATAACTTTCTTTTGTGCAAATTAATTCAGTCTTGAGTCATATATTAGAATGAACTCATATATTAGAATTAACCTAATTCTAATATATAATTAATGAATGATTATAAGCATGGTCCATGTCTCTGTTTGTTGGCGTGTCTTTCCTGATCGTTGCTCATCGACCTCTGCTTTATCCTCTCGCTGCAGAGGTTTAACTCTGATGCGCTCGATGCATAGATCCACTTCCTGGTCTGCTGTGATTGGCTGCTGGGTGCTTGAGTCAGATTGGTGTCGTGTGATGAGGATGTAGGTCACTGTGTAGCGTGCGGACTCTTCATCACTCTCAGATATATATATATATTTTTAAATCCTAATGTTAATGTATATTGTGGTTCTTCCATTGATCGATTAACAAGAGGAATTTGAGGACTGTTTGGGAATGGAGTATGTAGAGATGGACAATCCTTACCTTTGTTGTATGAATGAAATGTATTAGATGGATTTAGATCTACATTGAACACAGTGTGGGGTCTATTTGAAGGCATGCAATTTAGAGTGACCAGAGAGAAACCAGAGGGAGAGACCAGAAAGAGACCACTATGATATCAGACAAAACAAAAGTACTGTATTTTCTATACAATTAAATCTGCAAGTTCACAGATTTCTTCATGCCTCTATCTGTGTTTATGCAGCTGTGGCAGATGTCGGTCCGGTTTGCAGTCCACGAGCCGCTGCATACGTGCTGACCAGAGCGTGCCTTCAGTCGGTGTCAATACAAACTCGACACCTTTGCTCTGTTGCCGTAGGAACAGTCTCCAGGGGGTGAGGACGTGAGATGTGAGAGAAAAGGGCCGGACTTAGGGGGAGGGAGGGGGAGGGAAGAAGGGGTGAGGTGTTTTAATGAGAGAGGACAGGAGGACACAGGGGAGGCCACAACTCACAGAGATTCTTTGGAATGAATCAATCTTGACATGTCCAGCAGGTAGAAAAGTAAATACTATAGTGCAGGCAATCGGACCAGAAAGAGACCAAAAAACAACCAGAGAGAGGCCAAAGAGGGAGAAAGACCAGAAAAAGGCCTAAGAGAGACCAGAGAGAGACAAGAGAGAGACCAGAGAGAGACCATAGAGAGAGAGACTAGAAAGAGAGACCAGGGAGAAAAGCTATTTTAAAGCACTGTTGGATCTGCAGCCTCAGCCACCCACTGTTGATGTCTGATTGGTTCAGTTTAAGTTTTTAGTTGAATTTATTTCTCCTTCAGTCACTACATTAAAAAATAATTATTGCATATTGGTATGCAGAAAGGTACAAATACATGAATGACTGAACGGTATAAGTACAGTATTAACTCATTTTTCCTAACCCCTATTTCTGTGACTCTATCACAATATTAAATAATCCATGGATACCGATCAGTCACAGATATCACATGGACAAAACAAGAACATAAAAAAAGAGAAAGAAAGAAAAAAGAATACATATGCACATATACAGTGTATTATATTTATACATACACACCCCTAATACCTTTTCATTACCATTTTTATTTTTAGTTCCAATATTACCACAATCATTTGCACGATTACTACCACTAACCTTTATTATGATTAATAATAACAAAGAACAACATAATTACTATCATTATCACCAGAATCACCATTACAACCATATTTACATTTCTTCATTTCATTTATTATTAAGTGTTCTATACTTTTCCATGTATGTTAATTGTGTAGATTTTTTAAAATGTATTAAGCTCTTGAGTTGATCATCCAAGCTGATGCACAGCTGGACCCCTCTAATAGTTATACATATGTATTTTGAGATTTCAATAATGAAGCTTAAGTGCAAATTCAGACTGGGAAGACCTCTGCTGCAGCTCTCACCCCATTCAAGGCCAGCCTCTCGAGCCTCAGCCAATCACACAGCTCGGCCAACCTCCCTTGCCAACCTACTGACAGCAAAGCGGGCAATTTAAAAGTAGCCACTTCCTACTAACCATGGCTTCTCAAAGCTCTTGACATCCACCCCCTCCTCAGCACCTCCTCGAGCTCCTGCCCTGGCTCCTGCCCTGGCTCCTGACCTGGCTCCTGCTTCTGCTCCGCCTACGCCCCATTCACACCATGCTCTAGCCACCACCAGTGCTTGACCCCGGGGGATGAAATCATCTTCAGCAGCAAATGATGTCCCCTCTGCAAGTGTCCCTGCCGGGGTCAATGCGCCAAACAAATAAATCTTTCTAAATGCATTAATGTGTCTGTCTTGGTCTCTACAGATTGAATTTATATGGACAATATCAGTAATCCTCTCCCGAAAGATATTGCATCCTGTTTAGATAGTTTTGGCATCCGCAACATATTCACTTTCCAACCCACTGCAAAGGAAACATTTTGGACTTACTATGCTGCTCTGGTGATACCTCCTCAGACTGCCAGCCCCATTCATTTCCATCCACTGACCATTTACTAATTACTTTCACAGCCAATCTGTCTCTGTCCAAACTCATGTTTCCCCGCAGCATCTCAATAGCAAAATAAAAAACATTGATACTGACTCTTTTAGCTCTGGCATCACTAACCTCCCTTACACTGATGCTGGTCCCCCCTGATGACTTGGTCTCCCTCTACAACAACTACCTCCA